TATCTATGGTTGTAGACCTTAGATATTTCAAACTATGAATTCTGTTAGATCAAATATTCTGAATTTGAAATATCAAAGGTTTACAACATCAGATTCCAAAGGTTTACATATTTGAGTTTGTGCCAAAGACTCAATTCCTTTATAAATTGACTGTAAGAAAAAATAGAAAAATAGAAAATAGAATACCTTTATTACATCTTCCATCATGTTATAAGCATCTAATATGTCGATGTTTTGTTTTTGCAAAAGTTTTAGTTTAAAGTATCTTAAAAGTTTGTGTTAACAGTGAATTTAGACAAATCCTAAGTCTTTGTCATTGTCAGGTGTTACTTTTTAAATTTGTTTCCTTTTAATTTTGTATTTTCCAGGGGGGGCAAGAGGACTACTGCCCCCCCCCCTATGTACGCCACTGTTTACAACTACTTTACAGGGAAGTTCAGGGAATTTTATTTTACCAAGGGTTCCCAAGACCACCCGAAAAAAACACAATTTTATCGTCTTGTGAGATTAAAATGAGCGATTTTTTCCAGAAAACTTCGCAGAACGGGTGGTTATATTACATAACCGTCCCAAGGGTCGTTAAGTAACCTAACCTCCCTCTGTTGGGGGAATCATAGGTCGGTAATGTTGGTCAAAAGGCGGTAAAACCACTAACGTTAATCTTACATTAATTTCCAGGAAAGTGTCGAAAAAGCAACCAATCAGAGTCTCGATTGCAGAAACCGAACAGCCAATCAGAAACCGATAATTTTTTTAATTTGGCGCGCAATCCATGAGAGAAATCTCATTGTCTGGAATCCAACAGGCATCAGGGGCGTACGAGGGGACCCCCCTAAACAAAAGCCCTCGCACGCCCCTGACAGGTATATTCAAATTAGAGGAAAGTTAAAAGTGTCCACAGTGGATATAGAGATTTAGAAATGAAGACTAACGGAATCCAATACAAGAGTTTAATAATATCTACCTCCACAATGATGAGATCAATATCATTCTGAATCAGAACTTCTAATCCTTCTCTTAACTCTTCGTGGACTTCCTTCTTGTCTCTCTTGGTTGAAAAAACTCCTATTAACAAGAGACATGTATTCTTGTTTTCAATCATTTCAACATTCTAAACATTTTTCAATCATACTATTTCTATACATATGTCATTTTTGATTTGCCACGGCATATAATTAATCATTAAAGATTTTAAGATAAAAGCTTTTATGAAAAACAAATCTTTCAACATCCTAAAAAAATTGCACGACAACCATGGTCAGTTGAGGGCGAAGTCGATCAAAAAAAGAACAGTAAATATTTTTTTAACTTTCAACATATTAACTGTAGTTACAAAACTTAAAATTGAAAAACAATCATGTCATTGAGGTTCAAGATTTTTAATCCAAAAATGTAAAAAAGTTGTATTCTTCGCGTCCTACCTGTCTGAACTATTCCTCCAGCTACAATTGTTCCTTTTTCCTTGGCAATCTTCTTCGCAATATTACAGGCTCCTTGGTTTATCTCTCCACACTAATAGTATTACAGGATCCTTGGTTTATCTCTCTACACTAATGATATTACAGGATCCTTGGTTTATCTCTCTACACTAGTAATATTACAGGATCCTTGGTTTATCTCTTTACACTAATAATATTACAGGATCCTTGGTTTATCTCTCCATACTAATATTACAGGCTCCTTGGTTTATCTCTCTACACTAATAATATTACAGGATCCTTGGTTTATCTCTCTACACTAATAATATTACAGGATCCTTGTTTTATCTCTCCACACTAATAATATTACAGGATCCTTGGTTTATCTCTCCATACTAATAATAATATTACAGTATCCTTGGTTTATCTCTCTACACTAATAATATTACAGGATCCTTGGTTTATCTCTCTACACTAATAATATTACAGGATCCTTTTTTTATCTCTCCACACTAATAATATTACAGGATCCTTGGTTTATCTCTCCACACTAATAATAATATTACAGGATTCTTGGTTTATCTCTCCACACTAATGATATTACAGGATCCTCGGTTTATCTCTCCACACTAATAATATTACAGGATTCTTGGTTTATCTCTCCACAATAATAATATTACAGGATCCTTGGTGTATCTCTCCACACTAATAATATTACAGGATCCTTGGTTTATCTCTCCATACTAATTATACAGGATCCTTGGTTTATCTCTCTTCACTAATAATATTACAGGATCCTTGGTTTATCTCTCCACACTTATATCATATAATAATATTATAATATGTCGAATATCATTGTTATTATTATTTTTAATAATAATATACAGGGCTACCCAAAGAATGAGAATTCAAGAACTCTTCAGTCTTACTTCTGACATTGAACATGCAGTGAATGAAGGAAATGAAGTGAATGAAGTGAATGTTGGGTTCCTTGTATAGGCTAAAAAAAATCTTATTTTTTTTTCTCAAAATATTTTTTTTCCACGGGCAACGCCAGGTCCTTCAGCTAGTATTGTATAAATCTGGACTTACAGACTAGAGTGGGTTATAACATGTTTCACTATTGAACAATTTTGGATTCTTAAAAAGCCTTAAATAAAGACTTGAGACAACTGCAGGGTATTGTTTTGGGGCTTTTTTGAAGGCTTTGCACAAGAATTTAAAATGCAAATCCTATTTCAAAATTGCATGTTAACCAAGTTTGCACACAGCATAATTTTTACTAAGATTAAAGATTTTAACCAAAACGATTTTTTAAATCGATTAGAAATTTGTTTTCCGTTTTCGTTTTGAAAAATCGTTTTGTTCAATATCTTTGATCAGAGTAAAAATTTAGTTTTTTGATAAAAACAAACTTGGTTAGCATGCAATTTTGAAATAAAATTTGCATCTCGGATTCTGATGAGGCCGTTAAAAAGTCTAAAAATCTGAGATGCAAATCCTATTTCGAAATCGGTACTTACTTTTTGCATATATTTCTCACAGGGTAAAATTTGGAGCGCAAATATATAGAGAAAAAACTATTTTGAAAGGAATTGACACTTTACCACAAACTCAATTCCTTTGTAATAACTTCTCCAATGCTTCTTTAAAAACATTGAAAGATTTAAAAAATGAACCATAGAATGTCCCAGATTTCTACTTACAGTTAGATTAACATCATCGGGAGTTCCTACATCTCTGGAGTAGTAGGTGAATGTTTGGGTTATATCAGCTCCAGCTCTTTAAGAGAGAGACCGGCTAGGTAACATATTTGAACCAAGATTGAAGTATTTTATAGAACAATGATGAAATAAATTTGTTAGTAAAATTTCTCATTATTATCAAATGAATCCTAAAATTTTTCTCTCTAAAACTGCACTCACTATCGGTTCAAAAATGTAACCTAGCCGATCTCTCCCTGTAACAAAATGAATTCATTCAATAATATCTTCAGAAGTCATAACTGTATCCAATTTTTAATGCATGATTCTTTCTTTTAAGATTTTCTGATTAGTCCCAGAAATCGCAATTTAAAGCTATAACACGATCCAATAAGGCCTTGCATGTCCCTAGTAGAGATGTCAACGATAGTGTAACGTAACGTAAAATGTACGTTTTTGTACGTTACGTTACAATGTGCAACTTAACGTTTCAAACGTTAATACTTTTGATGAACACTATCGTAACGAAATCTAAAATCTAGAAAAATCAAAACGTTGACATCTCTAGTCCCTAGACAGGCTGAAATGCGGTTCTTAATGATTAGTAATAAATATTTCAATCTCAAAAAATCGTTGAAAATTTTGAAATTCCACCAGTAAAAAACAGTAAGACTTGCCAAATTTTGTTATAGAGTAAAAATTATAAATAGAAAACTGTTTTATTGTAAGAATATTACCTGGCATATTCATAAGCAAGAGCTTCAACTGCCTCAGGATTCTCTACAGAAGCTTCAGGAGTGTAGTGACCAGCCTGAATAAGAGTTACTGGTATGACTTTAAAACTTCATTACTCCCCCAGTTTTGAATTTACATGCTGTGGTTTATAGTTGATTCTCAAAGGATACTTTATTAGAAAGTCCCTATATATTACGCGTCAAAAAGTAAATTTTGCTCCACGGAACGCTTTGGATTAGATGCACCCCCCCCCCCACATCCCACCAGGGATATTTTTTAGCGACAATCCAATAGGCCTCAGTTCTTACAACCTTTAGTTTTCGCGAACACTCCCTTTATAAATCTTAAAGAGACTGTAGACGAAATTTTGTCAGATAGAAAACCAACGGTATATACATCATGTGCTCAGATAAAGGATTAAACGGTACTTGAGGAGGGTTACTTGAATCTATATTGACAGTGCTGTCCCAATTTAAAGAATTTAAGCCGCGTCTCAAATCCCCTAAAAACCGGTTTCAATTGAGCGCCGGCTTAAATCTTGAAAAATTGAATACAATTTTAAGTGGAACCAATCATACTTGAGCCGCAGCTCAAATTCTTGAAATTCGTCCTCAGTCCCATTAACCTTGACATATCCTCTCTTCTCCAGGGTAGCGCAGTAGCTTCCATCTCCTAGAACTACCTCACCACCCTCCAGCCGTTCAAGGATATTCTAGAGTTTAGAGTTCAATTAACTTGAATATTATGTTGGAAGGTCGCTGGAGATACTATGGGATCAAATTTAAAGTTGTTGAACTACACTGTACCGGTTCAAATCCTGAATCCCCGATTCAAAGTTAAATATTCATTAGGATTTAGGTAATTAATTGGAGAGTAAATCCATATGGTCTCACCCATAGATATACAAGAATTCTCGTATATCTATGGTCTCACCCCTAGCTCTTCATGTTCATACAAAAAGTGGACATTATGGCACCATACTACTTGCAAAGACTAAATACTAAAGAAAATGTCAACTTTAAAAAAAAATATTGAAAACAATTTTTCATCAATATTCAATATGTAAAAAAGAAAAAAAGTATCAAAATATGAAGAACCCATAACATCTTTGTCAATGATGTAAATAGTCAAAAGCAATTCAATTTCTTTTCGGAATTTAAGAACAGAATGTTAGATATAAAACAGAGATAAACAGAAAACTCTGGAATAGGAATTCAACTTTTAAACTCAAGTTATGACTTTTAATAGCGCATTGATCATGAGACACAGCAATTGTGCAACGTACACAGACCCATTTTTCTTAATAAGTAATTCAATAACTTTCAGGTAAATCTATTTGCTTTAAACCACATCAGATTCACTTCAGAAATCCTGTAATGTCGTCTTCCTATTCTACAGTTTTCTGGTTTTGCCTGTATACTCACGAATTATTAACTGAATATAACTCAAGCTTCACAATATGTGTTGAGAATAATATCTAATATTTTGTTGTGAATACATAAAAAGATGTTCTCATATTCATGATAAATATTCATATTATCTACCAGTACGTGTTCAACCATATTTATTGCAAAAGACTAAAGGAATATAGCAAGTTGCCACAAACTCTTATTTTCTAATTGCCACAAACTCTAATCTTCTAATCTTTGCAACCCAATGTATTGAAGCTTACATATTTCAAAATGTTATTTTTTTGGATCAAATAAACTGAGTTTGAAATACCAAAGTTTATAACATCAGCTTACAAAGATTGAGGGATTAGAAATTTGAAACTGTGACCAACGACTCAATGGGTCTGTCCTATAAAACGATTTTTGGACCCTACATGTAAAATGTACATGAAAATTTTGTGTAGGAAAATTAAAATCAAGAAGATTAGAAAATGATTTAAAAACTTGACCCCACTTTTCGATTTTTTTTTTTAAATTAAGTTTATTGGTTCCTACACCTTAGAACTATGTTGCATTTTTTTGAAAAATCTGAAATGTAGATTTTAGAATACATTTATAAGATACATATTCATTTTTTATTTAACCTTATATCAGTTGTAAATGTGGTTAACTACTGGAGTATTCAGAACAATGTTTCAGTAACACACCAAGGAACATAAAACAGGAAGGACAGATCGCTTCCTGGGAATCTTGATATATTGAATACAATTTCAAGTGGAACCAACTTTATTTAAGCCGCTTATCAAATTTAAGCCGCGGCTCAAATTCTTTAAAATCGGCCTCTGGACAAATCTCTGGGTGTCTCGATAACATGGCTTTATTATTCGTTAATCTGATTTTACCTAAAACACGATTTTCAGAATCATGTTTTGCAAAAATTAATAAAGATTATTTTTGTATCTCAGATATCTGCATACCATCCAAATATAATTTTAAATCGGACATTCTTTATGCAATTATTATTTGTTTATATTCAACAAAAATCGCTTATTTGGCGGTCATCCTACTTTAACTGCCGAGTCTTGATTTTTTAGGAGACATATTGTTTAATTACACAATCTCATTTTAAAAAACAACGAAAAATTTTAAATCAGGATAAATCATTCTAAAGAACCGTTTACATCAACAAACAAAACAATAGAAATATGAAACAGCTGGGCTTCGTTTCCCTTTTCTAGTAACAATTGTAGTTGAAAACCGTTGCTCCTCAATCTGCCATCTTTTTAAAATCGTATTTTGTAAATTTTCTGTTTAAATTTGCGCATTTTCAAAAATAGCAAATGTCGACTTCATTTTCCAGGCAAAGGTTTTGACTTTTAACCCCACAAAAAAACCTTCCCCTCAATCAGGTGAGTTGTCACAAAAAAAATTGGGCTCGATCGGGTAATCCGTTTTGACGTTTATTTGACAGCCAAACAGCCAGACAAACAATCCAAATGTATTAAAGAGTTTTTTTCTCCCAAATATTATATTCCTTGAATATGTTAACAAGTGTTACTAAACAAAGAATATAAATTATCTTAAAATTCTAATTTATTACGAAAAAAATGGTCTTTACGTAATTTCTATTAATGGAAAACTCCATTATTAGTAGTAGTTATAATACAAGTGTTTCTAGGTAATATTGATTTAATAGTTAGTTTTAACTTTTTAAGTAATTGTTAAGATGTCTAAGAATTATGTATCCACTTAATCATGAAATATAAGTTTTTTTTCTTTAACAAAAGTTGTGATTTTTATATTCATATATAATTTGCTAAGTTTTTAAGCAAGTTAAACGATAAAACTATTAATTCTCTTCAATAATGAACAAACCTTTCCAGATTATAAAAATTAGTTTATTAAAAAATAATGATATTGTAAAGTATAATTGCATAATTGATCACTAATCAATCAGTCAGAAATGATCAGTGCTCAGTTAAGAATAATTGATAATGATATTTTTAAAAAGATATCTTCTTTCTAAAGCATTTTTAATTTTGATAATGGACTTTAGAAAAAAATTTGTAATTTTAATCTTTTTCAAATCAAATATATAGATTTAAATGCCTCTTCATATTTTTTGCCGTGCTAAAGGGAAAAAAAATCTTTTATTAACATGTATTTTCATCATAAATATTAAATAAGTTTTAAGATATTTACATCTAAAATAATTACTACTAATTATGAAGGCTGGTGAAAAAAATTAGTTTCTAAGGATATAAAGTAAAGAATGGTTTACATAAATTCAAGAGAACATTCTAGCAGAATAAATGATAGAATAGCTCAGGTCTTGTACAAAACTATAAACTAGTTTCCAGTAGCTTGTACAGAACTATCAACTAGTTTCCAGTAGCTTGTACAGAACTATCAACCAGTTTCCAGTAGCTAGTACAGAACTATCAACTAGTTTCCAGTAGCTTGTACAGAACTATCTACTAGTTTCCAGTAGCTTGTACAGAACTATCAACCAGTTTCCAGAAGCTTGTACAGAACTATCAACTAGTTTGCAGTAGCTTGTACAGAACTATCAACTAGTTTCCAGTAGCTTGAACAGAAATATCAACTAGTTTCCAGTAGCTTGAACAGAAATATCCACCAGTTTCCAGTAGCTTGAACAGAACTATCAACTAGTTTGCAGTAGCTAGTACAGAACTATCAACCAGTTTCCAGTAGCTTGTACAGAACTATCAACTAGTTTGCAGTAGCTTGAACAGAAATATCCACCAGTTTCCAGTAGCTTGAACAGAAATATCAACTAGTTTCCAGTAGCTTGAACAGAAATATCCACCAGTTTGCAGTAGCTTGTACAGAACTATCAACTAGTTTCCAGTAGCTTGTACAGAACTATCAACTAGTTTCCAGTAGCTTGAACATAACTATCAACTAGTTTCCAGTAGCTTGTACAGAAATATCAACCAGCTCATCACTAACAACAAAAATTAGTAAATTATAATGTGACAAACAAAAACTATACCACCAACAAAATTTATCAAACTTGTTTAAAGTAACACAACACGGTGAGTAGCAAGAGTTATGGGTCGCGACAGAGGCTCTTTCTGATAAAACTATTTTGATCTATCTTTTTTGTTATAAATTTTATTTGAAATGCATCCAATTCCCAATTGATAAGGTTAATGCTCAACTCACAAACCCTTAGAAAATTGACTTTCTGATAAACTAAGTGGAAGATATCATCGTTTTTCGAGCTGAAAAAAATGTTTAACTCTTGCAACTTTCTCCATTGTTGGTGTAACTAAAATGTGCAGGACACTTTTATAGAAAACCCATAATTGCAAATAAACAACGTTTAAAGTTAAAAGCATTGATAACTCATCCCTTCTTGAATAATAATAAAAGCTAATAAGGGTGAAATAATATACCATTGTGAATCAAATATGGCCAAGCCACTCTGGAGGGTCATAGAAAATTACATCTGCAGTCCCTTTTAGCAAACTGATCATCAAAAATTGTTAATTTAAAAAAAAAGTTACCTAAGTGTTGGATGATGTTTATATATGTAAAGACGGTAAAGATCGTCTTTGTTGTATGAAACTCCGTCCACAACCCCAACTAGGTCGTTATGACAGGCTGAGCATAGAAGAATATCATCTCGTCTTAAACCATGAACATTGCACTGTCTAAACAGTAATAAACAGCGATAACCAGAAAACAGGAAGACGACGTGCTCATTGAACCTTTTAAATTATTAAAAGTCGTCTTCCAATTTGAGAGTTTTCTAGTTATAACTTTCTAAGTCGTATATATAATTCGGGAAAAGTAATTTAAAACCACAAACTAACTTTCTAATCCCTATATCTTTGCAACACAATGTTGTATACCTTAGATATTTCAAACTCTGAATTCTGTTAGATCAAATAATCTATTCTTGAAATATAAAAGGTGTACACCATCTGGTTGCAAAGATACAAGAATTAAGGAATTATAAAATTTGAGTGTGTGGCAATTTCTTTGGCTAAATTCTATGTAGGTATTGAGATTAAAATGATTAAGATTTGAAAGAACACATAACGCATTCTTAACTGACACTCCATTGATATCGTGTTTTTACTTTGTCATGAATTGAATATTTAAAGAAGATACCTGTGTATTATCCAGAATTCAATCCATGACATAGAAGACGACATAACAAAAAGACTGTTTTTAAATTCCTACAAATAGAACTAAATATAGGACTAAGCAGACAGGGTGTCCCAGAAAACTTGACAGTTGAGAAATGAACCATGAAGGTCGTCTTTGACCTTTTAAACAATTGCGGCATTCTATTGTGACTTATACTTATACAAAAACTGAATATAATTCTGTTTTACGGTCGTCTCTGAAGTCTCATCCTTCATGGTTAACCCTGTATATATTTAAATGTGTACACAACCCCCTTGAAAAGAAAAGTTAATGAATGAATATAAGAAGTTTGAGTGTATGTTAAACCACCAAGTAAGGATATATATTAATAATAATTGCATACAAGAAGTATGAATGTTATATTGGATGTCCCAAAAAATCATTGAATCACTCACCATGGTTAAATTTTTAAAATTTTACCATTTTTACCATCTTTGAAACATTTCCAATCGATAGATTTAAATCAGAGGTATGTAGCAAAAAAAATTGAAGAAATAAAAACTGTTTGAAATTTGGCATTTTGGTTTGGTTAATTTAATTTTACCGTATTATGGAATTTCATTAAGATCTGAAAAGATACAAATCCCTAGACCTTAGTTTACAATGCGGGAAAGACATTTTCTTGCTTTTGAGTATACCTCAAAAGAAAGGGTGACAAAACGTTAAGCCTGGTTGTTTATTGGAGTATATTACTTATGACAATACCAATATCAATTCTTAACCTATCCAAACTGTCAAATTTCAAACTGTTCTCACTTCTTTAATTTTTGTGCTACATATCTTCAATTAATATAAATCGATTGTAAATGTTTACAGATTTAAAAGTGCCAGAAGCTTTGAAAATTGAACCATAGCAAGTGCAAAAATCTCTAAAAGATCAATTTTGGGAGGACTCCCTGCATTTATACTTTGCTTGTCTGGCTGTTTATATGTATCCAACAGACGTCAAAACGGCTAAACCGATCTGGCCCAAATTTTGAGGTATATATGCATTATCAAAATATCAATCATTAGCCTCCAACAAATCCCATTGTCATTAAATTTTGAAAATCTACCAATCTACCCCAAGAATGAATATTAATAAATGAATTTAAGAACTATAAATAAATCTGTATTAAAACTCCCTGTATAAGAATAAATAAAAAACTATGAATATGAAAATTATTTTGGAAAGTTGTACCTGATCCAAAGACAGGATTGTGAATGAGAAAATGTAGAAATCTGACCCGACATTTATATTCTAAATAATACAAGGGTTGGGGCAAGTATGGAAACAGTACAACAAAATGGCCGTTTTACACTTTTTTCTAGTAAATTCCACTCTAATATATATTCTATTCTCTTTGGTTGCCCCCCAGGGTTGAGGTTGAGGGAGGAGGGGACTACGTATCGGAATATTAGAGTTAATAAAGATCTTTATCTTTCATCACGCGGAGAGCAAAGACACGAGTTGAACTAATGATTTCTTTATACTAATGCATCGGCTTGACAAGAGAGCGTGTTTCAAACCTTGATTTGTCAACAACATTTCACGGAACTTGGCGCAATTATTTGCAATATGCTAACTTTTTGTAAGATGGGATGTCCAACAATCCATACATATGCTTTGCTTGTCTGTCTAAGTGTTTGTTTGCTTGTTTCCCAAAACCATAAAAACAGCTGAGCCGATCGAGCCCAACATTTTTGAAGCTTAACTCACATGACCCCGGGGCAGGTTCATAATCTTAAACCATAGCCAATATTATGCATAATCATAAACCATAGCCAATATTATGCATAAACTTATAAACCATAGCCAATATTATGCATAATCTTAAACCACAGCCAATATTATGCATAATCTTAAACCATAGCCAAAATTATTCATAATCTTAAACCATAGCCAATATTATGCATAATCTTAAATCAAATTATGCATAATCATAAACCAAAGCCAATATTATTTTTGTGACGCCACCTTTACAAACTTCTTGATTTTTTTAATCAAAAAGTGGATCAAACAAGATTCTTAACAATACAAAAGTTTAGGTGTTTTGGCTTTAAAAGTCTCTGAGATGTGTGACACACATTCCGACTTTAAGTTTGATTTTTTTACATATAACAACATTACATATAACAACATGACATATAACAACACTTTTTCTTTAAACAACTATACTACCCAACACAATTTTTCAAAAATCGTTTTGGTTGATCTCTCTCAGAGTAAAAGTTTTTCATAAAATAATAAACAGAATTTTGAAATAGGTTCAACACAACGCTAAACATCTTAGATTATTGTGGAGCCTCTTAAAAATCCGATAACCTTGAATGTTTAAAAGCTGACCTCAAAACGATGCCATTTTAAATTAAATTTTTACCCCAATTAACTAAATTACAATGAAATTGAATGAATCCCCAAGGTAATTTTTTGTTGAAAGAAATCCGCTAAATTTTCGCGAATTTCGATGTATTTCTGACGTGATTTTCGACCTCATTTGGTGGAATGGTTTGTCAAAAGGTTTTGCGAAAACATACGAATTCAACGAAATTTCGAAAATATTTGCATAATAATAAATAAATAATAATAATATTACATAACGAAAGTTCAATAATGTTCGTGAAATTAGAACGAGTTTCGCGAAATTTATTTAAAAAAATTTTCTCAAAAGTGAAAGAAAATTTTTATTCTTAATGTTCTTATTTTCGTTGGCTGAACGAAAATTTCGCGAAAGATATTGAACGATAATTTGAAAACCTTAATCTGAGGNTCTAGATAAGGGGGTGGGGCTTGACATGATCTGAGTTCGTGATGATAAGGGGTTGACGAGCCCGAAAGTACGAAAAGTATAAATTTTAGCCGCAAAGGTTATCATAGGAATCATAGTGTCATTGAATTTTATTTGCGTCTGATAGAAATAGATTGTTTTTATGGCGGAACTTAAGGCAATGATTTAAATTTTAAAACTGAAAACTAAAATTGTAATATGAATCTTCAAAGATGACAATGCCCGCGGCTGTCCGTATCGAGTCTGGTACTTCTTTCCATATTCAGTGTCATGGCACTTCTGCCGATTTACAACGATACCCTTAAAAGCGTTGTCTGATTAAGTATAAATACAGAGATCTCCATGTTTGTAACTTTATATTTTCATTTGTGGGTTTAGAAACACTGTTAGATTTGTTTAAGTTCGAACTTTTGTATTTTAGAGAAAGTTTCCAGCGAAAAAAAACTTCACTGTTAAAGTGACCGTAAGCTTGATTTCAAGTAATCCTGCATCACAAGATAGGTAATGCCCGATTCACAAAAGTACCCTTAACTGATCAAGAATGAATTAAATTCCAAGGTTTACAATTGTGATAAAAATAAATTTGGTTTCTCTACAAAAGTGACTTGCGCAATTTTACTGCAGGAAAACATTTAGGAATTGTCAACGTTTAACACTTTGAAACCTAGGAAGACGACAATATCTTCCATCCTATTCTAAAGATACCGTTGTGAAACAGCCATTGCCATATTTGCAGCAATCACTTGAATTTACCAAATAAATTCTAGTACAATAGATGGCAACGTAGAATTTGTACACTCTAAGTACAGCTGTATTCTTACGTCACAAGTGTCAACTCAGTTTGTGTGTCCGACAAAATTATTAATAATAGTGATAATTTTAGAATAAAGTGCTTATTTTACTGTACAATAAGTGAAATTTTATGTGTTCTTTATTTTGTGTTTTTACACTTTTTTATTTAATCTTGGAAAACAGATCAACTAATGTGAGAAAAATTCGTTTTCCTTGTTAGATTTGACACTTGTGACGTCGTGTATAATTGGTCCATTTCTCTGTTGCCACCTATTGAACTTGATAATCTATTTGGAATTTACGCGTACAGTCCCTTAATGAAAATACTGAAACTTATCAGTTTCAGAAATAAACTATTATCAATGTAACAGAAATTTAAAATCTGGTTAAGCTACTCTGGAAATAAAGGCTAAGAAACTCGTAGTAACGTACAAACTTAAATTTTCGAACAACAACGCCTTTGCAGTAGGACACTTTGTTTTAAAGGTTGAAAGCTTTCAAGCAAAAAACGATAAAAATTTTTCAATTACTTTTTACAAAAAAGTGCTTTGTAGTGCTAAAATCATACAGAAAAGCAAAAGCGATTTAGAGCGGTAGAATAAAAGCCCGGAAGGCGTTGTGACACTTGTAAGTCGATCCTGTCTAAAATATGGATGAAACTTTTAATAAGCAGGATAAATCTATGTATGTGTAGAGGGTTTCAAAGATTTAAGGGCTACAAAATTAGAGTTTGTGGCAAATGTTCAGGTTCTGTGTCCAAGTAAATGTCTTTCTTGTTCTGCCTTTTTTGGTCGAAGAGAATCTGAGACAATAATTTTCCGCTGTTCAATATTTGGTACCTTAATGGGACTGTACACTGTGTAGACGTATTTTCTTTAGTGACCTTCCATTTACAGAGAAGCATTTAATTTTAACCTGTATAAGTGACATTAAGTCGTTTACTATAATCAGAAAACAATGGAATATGAAGACGACATTATGACAATACTCACGCGTGTTTGATGTGTTGCATAGCAAATAGTTTTACTAGATCACTGGACACTTGTTCAGTGAAATGGGTCTAATCAAACTGCTCAATTGCTGTCTCAAGCTCCTTGTACTTTTTAAAGTTAAAGCTTAATTCAGAAATACTTCTTCCAGTGTTTCCTTGTTTACACTGTATGTATCTTAAATGTTCATTTCCTTCCATTATTTCTGCAGTATAAATCCACAAGTCATTTCATACCTAGAAATTTTGCTTTAATAAATCATAATATTTAATTCTTTATAATATACGAAGAATATGTTGTTTTAATAAAAAATATCATACAAAAGCTAAAATTATTACTCATTGCCCGGCACTATTTTCCTTGATGGTTTCATTCTCTCGGCACTATTTTCCTTGATGGTTTCATTCTCTAAATCCTATCAGAAGAGTAAAAAGTATTGCTCATCCATAATTTATTTTACAATATCAATTCTAAATATATATTTTTTTTAAATTAAAACAATAAGGAATAAATGCACGAGGAAAGTGTTGTGGCATATTGCATAAACAATCTGCAATGTGCGAAATGCTTCCATTAGATGAGCATTTTGCTAGATGACAAAAGTTAACTGGGAGAAAAAATTGTTATAAGCATTGAATTTAGGTGTTAAAAGATTTCAATTTATGATCTTTAAGAAATTAATTTGCAATATTTAAATTTTAAATTACATTTTGTTCCAATTTTTTTCTGTTAATTTATACTTTTTTCTGTAAATTTATATTTTTTTTTGTAAATTTATCAATACGACTCTAATCGTGTAATAGTAAAAATTGCAAAATAAGTAAAAACGTTAACATTTGTTTAATCACCACTTTCCCATAAATTAAGGATTTTTTTTGTATTGCACAATTGATACTAGAAAAACAGCCAATATCTTGTAAAAAAAAACAGCCAAGATAATTAAAGAAAAGGAAGTTGATAAAAATAATGTCATTTCCTATTTTTATAAATATTAACGAGATTATTATATATGAGATAATATTGAGTATTTCAAACTACAGGAAGAAGGACCCCTAATGCAAATACATGGTCCAACTTGTCGACAGTTTGTCCTGGTTGTCATTTAGCTGTCCAGGGGCCTTGGATTCCTGTTTTGACTCATAAGTTCTTCAATTTTTCCCTGAAAATAAAAATGTGTTCCGCTATGATTTTTTTGTCAGGCTCTCTTTTTCTTCCTAACTCACATTTATGTCACATTTTGGCAAAGTATTTATTTTACATAATAACTATGATGCTAGCTAACATGAAAATACCAAGATGATGACAAATATTTTATCCTAGTATTGAATGAATATTGTAGCTTACATATTCAGATCGCCAACTTTTTGTTCTGAATATTTTGTGGCTGAATTCGGGGAAATACTTGATTTAAAGGGAAAAATTTATAATTAATGTTGTAAAAACTTGCCAGCTGATAATTAATTTTCATTTTCCCAAAAAAATCTTTAGAGGGGGGGGGGGTAAATAATTCTACGCCTGAAACTACCCACAGGGTAAACATTAATTAAACAAGTGGCTTTCTATCAAGTTATAACTTACAAAAACCAGTTCCTGAACAGTATTCTTATTCTCTGCAAAAACGTCGCAAAACAACTTGATAAAAATTAAGGACTTTTACTCAACTTAAAAGGCTAATTTTTTTTATATAACCTCCGCAACCCTCAACTTCGCTTTCGTTGTGTACTGCAGTAATCTGCCGTACACGGGCCGAAGGTTTGACAGTAATGTAAGTATTTTTATTAATAATTTTTTTTATTTTAGTTTTTACCTCAAGGTATGAGATCAGCTTTCGTCGTTCCCTTTACGAGCAATCAATCAATTAAAGATTTTATCGATCACAATATACTTTAATTTGGTAATTATTCTTGATACATATCTACAAAAATAAACAGTCTTATTTACCAAATATCTTAATACATTGATTAATAGTTTTTTTTTTTTTGATGATTATAGTTGATTTATTGACGATTAAGTAATTAACAGTAGATAATTGATTTTTTAATATTAAAAGATTAATTTATGATGATTACTTGATGTATTGACGATAGATATATAATATGTATCCAATGCATGCTTTGTAATATTTATATTGATTTGCATATTTATACAGACTCATATTTCAAGTATTCTTTTTATTAAGTATTAATAGTAATTGAAGATAAATTGACAATTTTTGACTGACTGATGATTTGTCTTGACGTATGTCTTTCAGTCTGATGAATTAATGAGTTATCAATGATTAATTGATTTATTATTGATTAATTGATTTATTCTTGATTAGTTGATTTATAAATGATAAATTGATTCATTAATGATTAATCGATATATCAATGATTAATCGATATATCAATGATTAATTGATTTATCAATGATTAATTGATTTATCAATGATTAATTCATTTATCAATGATTAATCGATATATCAATGATTAATTGATTTATCAAGGATTAATTGATTTATCAATGATTAATTGATTTATCAATGATTAATTGATTTATCAATGATTTATTGATTTATCAATGATTAATTGATTTACGATAAATTGATAAATCATTGATAAATCAATGATAAATTGATAAATTGATTTATCAATGATTAATTGATTTATCAAAGATAAATTGATTTATTAATGGTTAATTTAAAAAAAATTAATTTTTTAGTTTATGTTTTAAGAGCAAAGAGCTTTATTGTACAGAGTAATTGATTATTGGTGAATTTTCAATGATAAGTTGAGTTTCGATTATTAATTGCTCGATTTCCCTGTTCTCGATAGTGTTTGAGATTCCAAGGAAGAAGAACCCGACAGCAATCAGGATCGAACTCATCATCAGGATATCCGGCTTGTCCTCATCCTGATAATCAAGGGTCAGGGGCGTAATACAGGAATTTTTAAAGAGGGGGGGGGGGAGAGGGCTTAACAAATTCTCACATTCCAAATGGGGCTAAAAACCCCTCCAAAACTAATAGTTTTTACTTCTTTGACTTAACGCTTTTTTGCTTTTGTATCGACAATAGTGATGCTAAATAGAAAAGCTGTAATCTGTAGAATATTTCATCTGTTTTTTACTTTATATTTTGATTGCATGCTATTTGTCCTCGTAAAATCAGACAGCTCCAATTTATGAATTCACCCACAGTGCAATTTTCCTATTTACTATTCATCTGGCAGAAATCTTACAAACACATAATACAATTTTCCAGAAAAATATACATAAAATTTACATAAAATATACTCTGGCAGACTTAATAATAATGACTTTTGAAATTAGCCTCATTACAATTCTAAGTCGAATTCAATTCCATGTTTTTTGGAACACCCCATGGATAAACACAATATCTTAAATATCTTTAATATCTTAAAATTATTTCAATATATTATTTTACTTGAAAAAAAATACTTACGTAGACATATGTGGTCTTTGTCAGGAATAGCAGTCCAACAATGCAAAGACACAGACTAAACAAAATCTTTTTTGAATTGGGATTATCAAAAAAAACATGTTTCAAATAAGATTGCTAGCTCAATTTTTGCTCTGAATCAGATTAAAAACTTTTTACCATTAAACATTCGCCCACTAGTTTATAATGCACTTGTAAGGCCACATATTGAATATGGAATTATAACATGGGGGGGTGTAAAAAATGCTAAACTACAGGAAATCAAATCTTTGCAAAAAAGGGCAATTAGAGCAGTAAATAATAATTCGTTTAAAGCACATTCAGATCCTAATATTCTTCTGATTAGAACTTCTAAATCTTGATGATACATATAAACTAGGTGTTCTATCTTTTATGCATAAATACTTTTATAAAAACCTTCCAGCTTCCTTCATTAATTCTTTAGTTGAACCAAATAGAACAAAATCATATAAACTTGAGCGGGTTCTTTTTAAAACTCTAGAATGTTTTCCTTCCGCTTTATTTCCAAAAATATGGAATTCGATTGCATTAGAGCTTAAAGAAATTAAATCTGGAAAACTGTTTAAAAAAAAAAATTTTCTTCTTCACCTTGTAATTCATAAACATGATTCTAATAATGTATGTTACCCTCTGTTACAACCCTTCCCTTGAGTACCCACCCTTTCCCTTATACTTTTTCACCCCCTCCTTACCTTATTCATGATTTATCATCATTGTCTTGTTTAAAATGTACACTGTACAGTGTACATCCATCTATTTATTTACTTATAATGGGCCAACCAATCAAAACAACCAACTCTGGTTAGGCGGGTCCGAACTACATAGTAAATTGTGATTTGCTATTTGTATTATCTCGTGCTTTGTAGTTGAATAAAAATATGAAATATATGAAATCTAATAATTTAAAATTGAATTTTTTATTTTTCTTTTTGTTCATATTTAAAATAATTAAAAATGGAATGCAAGGATGCATTTTTGAATTAGTAATTCTTTGCTCCCCTTCACTTCTTAGGTTTCATTCATTTAAAACAAATTCAAAATTTTATTCTCTATAATTAGTAATAATTGGTTCCATACTTCAACTTTGCTAAATGCTAGATGTAACTCTTTCAGTAGAAAACTAAAACAACAACACAAAGTTAAACAATTCCTTCTACTTTGCTTCTTATATAAGAAAAGTAATTCTTCATTGCTAGGTTTACCCATCATAGTAGAAAAGTACTCCTTCTTTGGCAACTTACATCATATAGTAGAAAAGTACTCCTACTTTGCTAGGCTTACCCAATTTAGTAGAAAAATACTCCTTCTATGCCAACTTACATCATATAGTAGAAAAGTACTCCTAATTTGCTTACTTACCTCATATAGTAGAAAAGTACTCCTACTTTGCTAACTTACATCATATAGTAGAAAAGTACTCCTACTTTGCTAACTTACCTCATATAGTAGAAAAGTACTCCTACATTGCTAACTTACCTCATATAGTAGAAAAGAACTCCTACTTTGCTAGGTTTGGGTCCACTAGCTGGGTACTGACCAGGAGGGGTATAGTGAACATCAGGGTCATCATTCTTAAAATAAAAATGGAAAAATTAACACATTGTCGTGAAAGAAGAAAAATTAGATTAAGAATTGTGGAAATTTGTTTTATTTAGTGCTTTTTTTTGAGGAGCAGGGTAGAATAGGACGGGATACATTTATCAATAAAGTGCATCTTATAGGCACTGCACAATTGATGCGTTTCAAAATCATAAGTGGAGTCAAAGAGTTGTGGCATTATTCCTGTAGTTTTATTGGTCCTACTGTAAATCCAAAAATTCCTAGAGTCAAAAAAAAGAGTAAAAAAATGTAGTTGTATTTCAACAAAATTAGACATAAAATTGGGTAAAATACATTCAACGGTACGTGGGGTAGAAATTTAAAATTTTACGTGGGTATAACTTTATATTGTAAAAATGTCAGAAACTTATTTCAACTGCATCAAATAAAATAACTTTTACCCTTATTATAGGAGAATGCTTATCCTCCCTCTGAACTGTCACAGTTTTTAGGATATTCTTCAAACTTTCAGGAAATCTCATTTTTCTGAAATGTACAAGTTATAGCTAGGTTTAACACTTCTGTTACGAATTTAGGGATGGGTGTCGGTTTGCAGTACATTAATTTTGATTTTGCAAATTTTGTTTGTCTGTTAATTGGCTACACGAAAATGTGCTTTATAAATCATTAATCATAAAAATGTATAAAGGTCTGTCCTAGCCATGGCGCACGCCCCCCTAGCCGCAGCGCTCGGCCCGGTAATTGTCTTAACCTAACCTAACCCTAAAATGATAAAAATAAATTTTAACTGTAACAGATGTCAAAATTTTAAAAAAAATAAGGGTGCTTTCTTTTATAAATGTTTCCTAATATTGTAATAATCCAGTTTATTTTATAAATCTAAAGTGTTCATAAAATTAATTAGCTGTGTTTACATTAAAACAAAAGTGGATTTAAAAAAAGCTGTGTTGCTGGAAATAGCAAATTAGAAATTATTATAATGAATATAGAATCACTGCAATCAACCCTATAAAAAGTAATTTGGGGCGGAAATGTTTTTTATGGTGTCGCTGATAGTTTTAGAGAGATACTGTAATTGAAAACCCAAATATGTGAGATATCCTATTCCAGAGTAAACTGCACTGTTTTTCCTTATGTAAAGAAGATATTTTGACAACATATAGCTATGGTGGCCGACATAGGTGATGGCCCGGCAGTGCAGGGCACTGTCCCCACCTGGCAACCCCACGTCCCCCACGAGGGATTTATGGAAGGTCTGTAGCCTCTGATTGAACTTGGTGCATAGAGAGTCCCATATCATATTAGATTATCTCCAATCTTTAATGCCAACATACGCACATGATACTCGAAAAATCTAGCATTTTCTGCAAAAAAAAATTTCAATTAGCCTTATCAAATTTTTCAAAATGATTCATTCTTCTTAAATTTTCTAATTTGTCCCCCAAATCGTAATTTAGACCCATTGACGCGGTCTTATTTGATGTGGGACACCCTGTATTTTAGATCTAAATTATGAAACTATTTGTTTTTGACTTTTATGGTAATTACATTGTCTATACGAATTAACATCCGTGGCCGGGCGCTGCGGCAACAAGTACATATATAGCAGCTGTAAAACTACGTACTAGTTAGCAGTGGCGCAACTAGGCCTTTTCTGAGGGGGGGGCGAAATCTGAAAGTTATTAGGGGGGGTAACGGGNCAAAAATTATAGTAAATAGTGTCAGGGTCGAGGGGGGGGCGAAAAATGCTGAGGGGGGGGCGAAACTCGGTTCGCCCCCCCCCCTAGTTGCGCCACTGCTAGTTAGTAGGTCGGATGTGTAGTACGGTTGGATTTGGCGTAGGTCAGAAGAAGTGGAGTACACTGGACAACACTGGATTTGCGTAGGCACACCATCGGTTTTGTTTTCATTCAAGAAAAGACGATGTTTATTTTGTCTGATGAAAGTTTTGAAAACTTAACGCGGCATACCACTCATTCCTACCTTTAGCTTTTTACTTGTCGGTCGCTTTGTTGTGGTGGACTGAAGCGTGCACCCGATAAATGTTTTTGTCATGCCTCCTAGAATTCATTTATGAGGAAGAACACATTTTTTGATCATTTTTTTACGCGGTAAATGTATTCATAAGTTTATACTTTAAACCTATGTATCGCATCTGTTTTTTGATATTTTGTAATACGCGCGCGCTCGGCTTGTACTCCCTGTACTGTTTTGAATGACTCATATTAAATACGGAAACCTTTTAAAGGTGCGTGCTTAACTGTTATTAAAGTCATAATAATCATTTTTAAGGGTTGTCAAAAGTAACTAAAACTGTTTTTTAAATACCAGTTTCCTTGAGCGAATTTAAGTTTTTCTCGTTATTAACATTAAAATTTTGGTTGCCAACTGCAACAAAATAGTTTCTGGTATATTCCTAGAGAACATTTTTGGCCCCCCCCCCCTCCTATCAATTTTGTACACGGATCTTACAGAAAGTGTCTAAACTTGACCTAACCCGTAGCCGTAGCGCTCGGCCCCCTAGCCTGTCCTAGCCGCTGCGCTCGGCCCAGAAACTGTATTAACCTAACCTAACCCTAAATAATACTAAATAAATACTAATTTGGTCATGTACAAAATTGATAGGAGGGGGGGGGGTCCGAAAAGCGTTCACTAGGACAGACCCTAGTTTCTATAGAACGGAAAATAATTAAAGAAATTAAAAAATAAATTAAACGTGTGAAATTGTTCCTTGGCAGTTTTTGGTAAACCCTTTCCTCTTCCACCGGTCCCTTCTATCAACATTGGGGTTTTTTCTTTTGTACACATTTTGTACCGGCCCCTCCCCTCCCTCGTATACATTTTGTGCATGACCAATATTACATTTGTTCTGTATCATTTGAGGGCGAGGTTAAGACAATTTCTGGGCCGAGCGCTGCGGTTAGGACAGGCAAGGGGGCTCATCGCTATGACTATGATAGGCTAGTGACCGAGCGCCGCGACTAGGACATGCTAGAGCTCCGGGTGCTGAGGTCACATTTCCGACTTTGAACATGTGAAACATACGAACTCCATGTACAAAATTGATAGGAGGGGGAGGGGTTGTCTAAAAAATGTTTAACAGGAAAATACTCTGTTTTTGACAAACAAGGCTATATTTTGATGTGTGGCCGCAGCGTCCGGCCCTCTGACCTGTCCTATATTTACGTTAATAAGAATTTCAGACAAATGAAGAAACTGAGTTAAAATGAGTAATGCACAAACGAAGCTTTGCGAAGTACTTCTCGAAGAATATTTTGGACCAGGCGTGTCTCAGGTATATTCATATTTGTACATGAATATCTACATAATAAACAGTTCACGAAGTATTCACCACTTGTAAGACTAGACCATATTCGAAATGTGTTTAAACCTTTTTGTAGCCGTTGATGCAGTGCTTAGGGACCGGGATCCGCAACATTTTGGCTTAGGATACGGATCTGCAAAAATGCTTTTGGATCCGGATTTTTTTCCAGTGCGGATCCGCATCCAAATTAAATGCATCCTAATCACTGCGTAGTGCGTAATGTAAAGATGACAATTGATGAAGAGTAACTTTGGCTACCAAAAACTATTATATTTAGTTTCCAGCTGACATTGATCAACTAGTATCACGTATTGTTGCAACAACATTTTTTATGATTTTGAGTTTCCAGTTAGAATATTTATATTAAATTTCCCTTCATATTTTTTTTAAAATCTGTTTTGCTCCGAAATTTCGATTTACAATTTGGGGTTTATTATTTTCTCATGCCACGCCGAATATACTAAAATATCAAATAAAATATATTTTATTTGAGGTTTATTATTTTCTCATGCCACGCCGAATATACTAATATATCAAATAAAATATACCTTATTTGAGTGCGACTATATGAGGACCTTAGGCATGAAAAAACCAAGCCCAGAAACCCCACTTTAAAAAAAACATCTTTAATTGGGATTTTTTGGGTTTTATTGTTTTTTTTTTTTTTCTAATTATTGCCCTTTTTCACTCTTAAAATGATAAACTCTTCAGAAAATAAGGTCTTTTATTGATTTTAAGGGAGTTTACAGCACTAAAACGACACATTTATTCTTTTCTCGTGAGTTTTCAAAATATGTTGCGATAGAATAAGGGTATAAAATTCCTTTAGCATTATTCTGTGTGAGAGATTTGAAGTTTTTAGGTATTTAACAGTGGTCTTCCTTCTTGAGCATATAGATATCTACAGATTAATCTGAGTAACCCCGCCCCCAATTAGAAATATGTATCCAAGTGAGAAAATGGAAAATTCATAGAATTAAAATATCAAAATATTGCATTATTTCCCCTATGAAGAAGGAAGGTGATATTATTGTGTTTATTATGATTATAGCCTATTATTACAACAATATTATTATTTTTCATAACTAAAAAGTTCACCTATTGCTTAAATAGTCCTATTATTAAGTTAAATTTTATTAGGTTTTAACTACTGTTAAATTGAAAAACCTTTAAAAGCAAAAAACCCAATAAAACCCTTTAGGGTGTTTTTTTTGTCGAAAAAAACACGACTTTTTCCAAACCCTGTGAGGATGGGTAGATTTTGTTTATAAATTTGCCGTGAAAAAGAACCGGAACCGAGACAGTGAAAAACTTTTTCCTCTCTCATGGCCATTTGCATTCATGCATAAATATTTATATAATTTTATTCCAGAATTTGATCAAATTATTTTCTTTTTAGATTGCTAGTAATATTCTTAATTTTGGTAGTAAAACTCTAGGGCAAATTTGTAGTTCAACAGGTATATTTCATTAAAAATTCCATTTTTAGATTTGTAAATTTTTTTCTGATTTTAACGCAAAGGTATTGAAGTTTTATTTTTATTTATCTCATCCATAGCAAAAAGATTCAATTAAAACGTTATTAGAAGATCAAAATGTTTCAAACAAAATTGTTATCCGATTGGTTGATTGATTGAATGATTGATTGATTGATTGATTGATTTATTAGGCTTAAGCATTCGAGATGTGAGGCAAGGTTTATCTTTTCTTCTCTACCATGATCTCGTTTCTGTCTCAGATTCCAGGAAACCAGGAAACCCAGATTATACTGTCCAGGTAAAGACTCAAAGTTTATATTTTATCAATCAATAAAAAAAGTTCAATCTGCGTATTCAATAAAATAACCCTGTGAAATTTAAACACTTTCTTAATTTCTTTGTAAATGTAAAGTAAAACTCTAATACACAGATTTTAAACATAACACTGTAAAGTGCAGCACAATCGTGATTAGTATACAAGTAAAATTCGAAAATAAATTGTTAAACCTGTTTTAAACTTGTTTACAAGTATAGTAAACAAATTGTAAAGCACCTTTGAGTGTTTTTAATAGTATTTAATATTTATGCAAACCAAGAATAAATATTATTTAGATCTCAAAAAACTTTTTTTTATTGTGAGAATATTAAATTTTCTATTTTCTTTGATTTTATTTTATTTTATGTTGCGTTGCAAATCACAATACAATGGTTACGGTTGATAATGTTCAGAGTATGCTCTACTATCCTTTTCTAGGTTAATAATGTTCAGAGTATGCTCTACTATCCTTGTATAGGTTGATAAGGTTCAGAGTATGCTCTACTATCCTTGTATAGGTTGATAATGTTCAGAGTATGCTCTACTATCCTCAATATCTGTCTCTAATCTCCAGGTGATCATTATAAAATCTACATTTTGTGTCTATTTAAAAAGTAGCTTTTTACTTGCTAAGGTCTCTAATAGGCGGTTCATTTATTTACCCTCGAATATTTTTTAAGGGGAAGAGGAGGGGAACTTGGGTGTTAGTTTGAATCTGAAGGTTTCTCTGTTTTAAATGGAGAGTTCGCGAAAAATGATAGAGGGTATAGGCTTAATTCGATAAAAAAAACGCTTTTGGTCGCTAATCTTACTTCTATCTGTTGCGTCTAATGCGATAAAAAAACGCTTTTGATTGCTTATCTTACTTCTATCTGTTGCGTCTATAAGGAGAAAATTGTTAAAAACGACTAATACCGAAGAACGTAGTGTCCATACAAATTCAAAAAGATGCAACATTCAACTCGTATCGTAAACAAATCATTCAGATATTACAAACAATAGACGTCAATTATTTTTCGACGCATTCGTAAATAGTTGATATTTCATAAGCCTATACCCGCTTTCATCAAGCCTATACCCCCTTTCATTTTTCGCGAACACTCCCCTTAACACTCCCGATGAAAGCTTTTTGATTTTCGAGAAGAAAACAATAATTAAAAAAAAATGTTCAGTATTTAATCGAAGAGCCACTTGAAATTATTACAGGCGCTTTGTTGAAGTTAATTAAAGAAATTTCATGATTAGAATTATTTATTTTATTTTATTTTATTTTATTTTTAGAATTTTTATTCATCAAACCGAAAATGTATTGCAAAATTATCAAGTTTCAGCTTAAATGAAGAGCCAGAATTAGTCGAACTGTGCAGAATAGTTAAAACCATTGATCCTAGAATTACGTTTACGTAGTTCATTTACTTTTTACTAATTACTAATCATTAAATCTTGTACTAAAACAATTCGAATACGAACAGAGAGAACCAGAAAACTCTGGAATAGGAAGCCGACTTTTAGACTCGTATGACTTAAAGGAGTCAATTAAGACACAGTAATTTTGAGATGTAAACATACTCATTTCACTTTAAAAGTGATTTAGTGACTAGAAAGTGATCAAAATCATTTAATTATTGCTTTGAAATCGTCTTCATATTCCACAGTTCTCTGGTTCTCACTGTATATATGAATAAAGGCGTATCTAGGTATGGGGATGAGGCTGTTATATTGCTTTGATATCGTCTTCATATTCCACAGTTCTCTGGTTCTCACTGTATAAATGAATAAAGGCGTATCTAGGTATGGGGATGAGGCTGTTATATTGCTTTGATATCGTCTTCATATTCCACAGTTCTCTGGTTCTCACTGTATATATGAATAAAGGCGTATCTAGGTATGGGGATGAGGCTGTTATATTGGCTGAAGAAGTTTGTAAATCTGGCAAGATTCTTGTATCTGACCTTCTCCTACAGGTCTACAAGAACCTGAGCCAGGAGTCAGAGCAGGAGGCTGAGAATCCCCTGGCCTCGTTGTCCCGACTAGAGAAGGAGGTGAAGAGACTGATCCTGGATAAAATCCTGGTTTGTTGTTCTCCAGGTGATAGTTCTCCTGGTGAAGCTGAGGTTCCTTCTCAGGTTCAAGATGAGAAACTCATGTTCTCTCCTCCAAATATAAACCTCAAGGTAAACAATATTAATTTATTTTGTATCTGTAATTTTGTGTAATTTTGATTGACCCCCTGGCTAAAGAGTCATATGCACGATTCACAACGGTACCCTTGAACTTTTTATCCGAGTAACAATTAGGAAGGTATTGTTGTGCTTCTATTTATCTTTTAGCCTATCCTTGTTTACTATTTTTAATAATGTATTTATAAAATACTATATTTATAAAGCTTTAGGCCTTATTAAGCGCCGGAGGATTCAAAATGGGCCGAGGCTGCAGCCAAGGCAAGCTATGGGGAATTTTCTTCAATATTCCATGGCGGTCAATGGTCTTTGGTCATACCCTGCAAAGATAATTTTAATTGAGGGATCAAGCGTACATCCTGAATATGATTAGTACCCAAATTCGATATCAAGATCAAGTGTTCAAGGGGGTTAGAGCGCATCGGTTCGGGTCCGGACAGGATAGGTGGGCGATCGATGCGGCTAGGAAAGAAAAGAGGCTAAGTGCTGCTACTAGGACAGGATGAGTGGGCGACCTCAGCAGCTAGGAAGGGATAGGTGGACGTACCCTGCAGTTAGGACAGGATATGTTGGCGAGCGATGCAGCTAGGACAGGATATGTTGGCTAGCGATGAAGCTAGGACAGGATAGGTGGACGAACCCTGCAGCTAGGACAGGATATGTTGGCGAGTGATGCAGCTAAGACAGGATAGGTGGGCGAGCGATGAAACTAGGACAGGATATGTGAACGCACCCTGCAGCTAGGACAGGATATGTTGGCGAGCGATGCAGCTAAGACAGGATAGGTGGGCGAGCGATGAAACTAGGACAGGATATGTGAACGAACCCTGCAGCTAGGACAGGATATGTTGGCGAGCGATGCAGCTAAGACAGGATAGGTGGGCGAGCGATGAAACTAGGACAGGATATGTGAACGAACCCTGCAGCTAAGACAGGATATGTTGGCGAGCGATGCAGCCAAGACAGGATAGGTGGGCGAGCGATGAAACTAGGACAGGATATGTGAACGAACCCTGCAGCTAGGACATGATATGTTGGCGAGCAATGCAGTTAAGACAGGATAGGTGAACGAACCCTGCAGCTAGGACAGGATATGTTGGCGAGCGATGCAGCTAAGACAGGATAGGTGGGCGAGCGATGAAACTAGGAATGGATATGTGAACGAACCCTGCAGCTAGGACAGGATATGTTGTCGAACGATGCAGCTAAGACAGGATAGGTGGGCGAGCGATGCAGCTAGGACAGGATAGGTGGACGAACCCTGCAGCTAGGACAGGATATGTTGGCGAGAGATGCAGCTAAGACAGGATAGGTGGGCGAGCAATGCAGCTAGAACAGGATAGGCGGACGAAACCTGCAGTTAGGACAGGATATGTTGGCGAGCGATGCAGCTAGAACAGGATAGGTGGACGAAACCTGCAGCTGGGACAGGATATGTTGACGAAACCTGCAGCTGGGACAGGATAGGTGGGGAGTGCTGCGGCGAGGGTAGACTTAAGAAGTTTTACATAGCAAAAAGTCATAAAGCAAAAAATGGCATATTTTAGAAAATATGACTCTAGGGAAAATGTCGTAGGATCTTATATCTGGAGAGAGTACGGAGAGGAAGGATAAAGGTCTGTACTGGAAACTGAACCTGGAGAGATTAAACCATCTTCTTCGGGATCAAATAATAGAGGAGGCAGCAGAGCGCAGGGTTGACAGGTCAGATTAAGACAAGAGGTTGGTTTATTTAGAATTTAGTTTTCTGGTTTTTATCTTGTATGCGCGCCCGAACTCGATAATCGATATTCACGCTAAACCTTAAATTTCGATATTCACGGCTAAACCTTTTTGGAGAGATCTTATGCTTAATCCGTGAAAAACTCTTAACTGGTATCTTCGGGATCTCTCATTGGCCAGTAATGGATACTTACTTGTTTACTTGATGGATTATTCTCCAGGTAGGAACATGAGGGGAATTTCGGTAGTATCATCTGGAGTTGTGATCCGGTCATCTTGTAGAGGTCACGCTGTAGGGTCGTATCTCACTCCTCTGTGGCTTCTTATTAATTGCAGCTTCAGAGATATCTATAAGAAAATAGCTTAATCTGTCGTTGGATTGGACTTGATAAATACTGATTAGTGCTTAATTAAACAAGATCATGTTTCAAATAACATTTTTCTCTTATACTCTCGAGTTTTGAACATGTTTTTACGTTTCAATTTCAATTTTCTATTCATTCTTATTTTTTTATTCAGTCATTTTTTTATCAAGGAAATCTTGGAAATGTATTTAATTAATTTAATTAATTAATTAATTCATGAATAAAGGATATAAAACATGAGTGAAAAATAAAATAAAATTTAACTTCTAAATATAAAGATTAAAGTTGTTTTGAGGGGGGGGGGGCAAAATAATATTTTTACTTCTGGTTATATTTGTTGTCAGCGGTTAAAGAATATTTTAATTGAAAATCTTGTCTCCAAGTTGAGCATCTTTATTGGCACAGTCTATATTTGATTTGAAGTGAAGATTTAAGATTTCAAATAAGCCTAATATTATTCTCCTATAATATTAATAAATGGTTGTAGCGGTGTCCATATCGTCTTCTTTATATTTGGATTAAATGCACTAACAAGATAAGGTTAATCTCTTTGTACGAGGTTCGAGGATTTTTCTCATCTTATTGGTGGATTTCATTGATAATAACTAAGACGATATCGACTCCGCTATATGGTTGATCTTAATTTTTAGCTTTTTTATTATCTAGAACTGGAGGAATATTATTACGAAGTATATTTACTCTGAGCTCAGAGCTTTATGATCCCTGGGCCCAGGTCTCAGGTCACCTTGGACACGCTCTCCTTACAGATAGGGTGAGTTGTCAAGTATAGAAAATTTTAACACTGTGAATAATTCCGTCCAGGCCCCAGGGGCTTAGCCAGAAGTTTGTCCAGGGGGGGCTTACATTTTTCTTTCCAGTGGTGTACTCAGCACCCGTTTAGGCCTGAAAATCCCCTGAAATCCATAGATTTCTCTGGTTCAGGGGGGGGGGCTTTACCAATTTGCAGCAGGGCTTACCATCCTCATCTAAACAGTCTTCCGGGAATGTTCTTCCATTTATTTGTCCTTAAATTTTTATATTGAACAAATTATATATTACATTTATAATTGTCAATTGTTACTTAAAACGGGACTTTATTGAGAGCATCATCCAGGGTCCGCAGAAATGCAGGGAAACCCCATGGGCTCCACTTTAATAATCGGCCAAAAAAATTGCAAATTTGCAAAAATTTTAATATTTATTGCAAAATTAAGGAACTACGATCCGAGCCGAAGCTTTCAAATCGCGGGCTCAGCTCTCTGTACCAATTATCCTTCTTCAATTACAGATGAGGAAAGATTGGAAAGGCGAAGAGGAGCTTGAACACTTGGAACAATATTTAACCATGCTCTCTACAGATAGAACCAGGTAAATACAGGGTGTTTCACTAAACATGCTTTTGAGAAACTATTTAAAGATCGCCTTTGCTCATTTATAGCCATCTAGGGGGTTGGTTTGTTAAGGACAAAAACAAGAATGACGTTGTAAATGGGATTTAAACAGTATTAGAAAAATGACTATGGCCGGCCGTTTGAATTTTAATAGTCTGAAAGTCGAATTTTTGAAGTTTTTGAGTTTGTCTAGTCTAATGATTTTAAAATGGTACTTTACTTTATATTTATAATGAACATATATTAAATCAAAATGTAAAATATTTTTTGTTTGTTTTCAGGTTTATTGATAAAGTTGGAGATGCTGGGGGAGGACAATATACAATTAATTATCAACATATTTTTGAGGCAAGATTATTTTTATTTTGATAGATTGACTTTTTCAAATATTTATCAGATTTGTACTTAATTTTAATTTGTTTTAATAGTTGAATTTTTACTGAAACGTTTTTGTTTTAAAAAAAGTTTTGTGATTTGTTGATTTGTTAATTGAATTATTGATTGGTTGATTGATTGATAAGCTTTTCGATGATAAGATTTTAGATTGTTATTGTTTATTTATTTTAGTGGATTGGTTGATAACTTGATTGGTTGATTGATTGGTTGATTGGTGTACTTTTTCATGATAATCTACACGATCTCAGGGAAGTCGATGCTCACAACTACAAAAAAATTTCTTCAAACCTGTTGGATTGTCGTAAAATTTTGAAAATCCACTGACAAATATCATTAAATCCGCCAACTTTTTTTGTTATTGTTTTAAAGAGAAGATTTTTAACTTAATAATTTATTGAAATTAAATTTTTACATCATCATTTTACATTAGGGTCAAATGCCATAGGAACAAACGACATAGGGTAAAACTAAAACGACCTAGGGTCAAATGTCAAACGCTCAAAAACGCGACAAACGGGAAAAATTTCTTTTTGACTAATTTTTTTTTATTTGACATATTTTTATGTTCATTAGAACTAGTAGCCATAGCGCTCGGCCCCCTATCCTGTCCTAGCCGCAGCGCTCGGCCTAGAAATTGTCTTAACCTAACCTAACCCTGAAATACTACATATTGATCTGTTATGTTTAATGTTTAATTACTAGCCGCAGCACTCAGCCCCCTAACCTGTCCTGGCAGCAGCGCTCGACCCCTAAATTGTCTTAACATAACCTAACCCTGAAATAGTACATAAAATATTTTTTTTCCATTTTTACCCTTTGTCGTTTTACCCATTGTCGCGATTTTGACCAATGTCGTTTGACCCTTTGTCTGTGAATCAAATTTTTATATCGTATTCATTTGTACAGGAGATTACAGCAGCTACTATTGAGAATATTATCTTGGAAAGATTTGGTTCCAAGTCGATGCGTATTTTCCGATATATTCGAGAGAAGAAATATCTAGAGGAAAACCAAATTCAGCAGGTTAGATTAAAACAGGGGTTTACGTTTTCCTAAAAAATCGCCGCCCCCTTCTGCGAGAAATTTGAGAAAATATCTTTATTTAGAACGTACAAGGATTGGAAGATTTAAGCCTAATAAGTGGTTGAAACCATTGCGGTATATTTTTTAAATATCCCCCTCCCCCTTGAAAAATCTTTTTTTCCTTAGTTGAAATTTGGATTGAAAAGTTTTACAAATGATAAGAAACTTGCCTGTCCAATTTTACACCAACAGATTGAAAATCTGGTACAAGCATCTATCAATGTCAACATAGAATACTTATTCCAGATCAATCTGAATATCAACAAAGAACAAAATATAAATAAATGATAAAATGATAAAGATGCTTTCCTGGTGGTTCTATTGGCAATTTATATAATCAATGGAGTTCAAGCTCATTGTATAATATCTGAAAAGGTAAACATCTCAGATATGATTCTCATACAAAGATTGAACAATAATGATACACATATAAAGACAGCAGGATCACATCTGTGGTGGCAAGGTTTCCTCTCAACACTGTTCCATAGTCCTTAACAAGAAATGCTTGACATTGAGGAATCTTAGCTCAACATAGGCGTCCATTTACATACAAACTAAGGGATTTTTTATTTTCAATTGTGGTTTAGGAATCAGCGTTTCGGATCCGGATCCGGTCGGATCCGTATCATTTGGTCGGATCCGGATCCGTATCAGGAAACGTTGATATGGATCCGGGTAGCGCCAAAAATTAACCAAAACCATGGAATAAATAAATCAAAATGGTTCGTAAATGTATTATTTACATGACGAAAATTTTTCAAAATTATCTTTAATAATTTAATGTTTACATTTATATAATAGTAATGACGACATTTTTAACTTTAGGATTACTACAGTTATAAATTATAACCTTGCATAACATTTAATAGGGAAAATCCGATTCACAGAATCAAAAGTTACCTCGGATCCGGATCCATCATCACGGATGCGGATGCGGATCCGGATCCGGATCCGCATCAAAATGATACGGATCCGAAACACTGTTAGGAATAATGACGAACATTATTTTTTCTCAGACTTTCGTCGGGGGGTGCTTCACGCCCTTTTTCTAGTAAATAATCTGTCTACCGTTGCTCTTTAAGGTGGCATTTTTCTTTGTATATCGTATTTCGTGGGTTTAAGTTCAATTCAAGAAGTTAGGGAGTGTTCAATAGCTCCTTGACCTAGTCGGTGTATGCTATCATAATCCCTTACTGATCAAGGCATACTTGAAGGTTTGATTAAACGTTTGACAAAATAAAAAAAAAATAATATCCATTCGTTACCTTATATTGAATATTTTTTATATTGTTAATGGAGCATAATTTCATCCATCTATAGAAGTTAATATCCATGCTTTACCTTATATTGAATATTTTTTATATTTAGTTAATGGAGCATAATTTCATCCATCTACAGGAGTTAATATCCATGCTTTACCTTATATTGAATATTCTTTATATTTAGTTAATGGAGCATAATTTCATCCATCTACAGGAGTTAATATCCATGCTGTACCTTATATTGAATATTTTTTATATTTAGTTAATGGAGCATAATTTCATCCATCTACAGGAGTTAAGGAAAAGTGTGGCTCCAACAGCTCCATCTAAAGCTATTTATCTTTTCTACATTAACTTGGATCAGGTAGACATTAGACACTAGACAGGCAACTATAATAGATTTATTTAAAAAATGAAATTAATGATTATATATTTTTTGTATTTCCTATTCAACGAAATTTATCCTTCAATTATTTTATGCAAATATTTATGATTTTTATCACTAAATTGTGGACATTGATTCTTATTTTGGGTTTTAAGTATTAACTACAAGGGAAATTAGCCAGAACAATTTATTTCCAAAATCTTTAAAAATGGTGTTTAATCTGAAGAAAAATATATCCCCTTATGTCAATGTATTTATTCTATTAATCTTTACTTCATACCAGTGCTTAAGATCCATTTAATTTTTATGCGGATCCGGATCCAGGTTATTTCTTCTTTCAAAATTTTCAATTTTTTTGTCTTATTTTTCGCTTATTTTATGCAAAACTTAAAAACCATTAAGAAATCAGGAAATTTTTATTATCTATCTTTTTCAAAAGTTCAAATTTGGGTTTTGAGAGTGAAATTTTTCGGATCCGGATCAAGGAAGCCAAAATCTTGCGGATCCAACGGTTCCGGATCCGGATCCTTAGCACTGCTTTATACTTAATTTGAAGTCTAATTTGCTTTAAGGTGGTTAGATCGACAATTCTACTGTGTCAGAAAAGTCTATGTAACCTTAAATCCAGATCAGAACAGGACACCGAGGAGAATTCTAGGTTAGTTACGCAACCCCCTTGTCAGCGGTNCATTATACACAATTAAATTCATCTTACCGACATTGACGCAGCCCCTTCCTGAAATATTTTAGGGTTAATAGAATTCTTTATTTTAATTCATGCGGTACTTTTCAAATAGAACTATTGTATTCGTAAATGTAGGGGGAGCTGTTAAATAGTGAGCTAAATATAAGGGGGGTGGGGTTGTTTCGGTGGTGTATTTTTCGACCTACACATATCCGCCTTACTCCACTTCTGACCTACGCCTAATCCGCTATACTACACATCCGACCTACTAGCACGTGGTATTACAGCTGCTATATGGACTTGTGGCCGCAGCGCCAGGGCCCCAGCCTGGCCTAGCCGCGGCGCTCGGCCCCCTAGCCTGTCCTAGCCGCAGCGATCGGCCCAGAAATTGTCTTAACCTAACCTAACCCTCAAATAATACTAAAATAAACAGCTGGCGTAGGTCCGATATTGCAGTAGGTCGGAAAGTTAGTAGGTCAGAAGTTCAGTAGGGGGGATGTTGCGTATAGACGATGTAACATTACCGGTTGTTTCTATCAACCAGCTGTTATTTAGCCCAAAAAAATGATTAAATTAGTTATTTTGGGGTTAGAACTATTAGGTTTGGGAGATGCAATGAATGACCAAGTTTAAAATAATTTACTTTCCGACCTTATTAATATTGAAATTTCATTAGTAACACACTGGGGAAAACTGATTTTTAAAAGAGGGGGAAACAATAAATCTTTGAAAAAAAACAGTTTGAAGCTTAGAGGTAGGCATCGTTTTTGTAAACGAACGAAATTTTTGTGTACTACAGTATCGTTCAGTTAAAATAAATAATGGACGAACGACCAGGGATCGTTCAGAGTAATGAAAAAAACGATTTTCAATGAATAAGTGATATTACATGAAAAATATTAGTTTTGAGAACAAACAAAATCATTTTTTAACTATTGAAAAATAAACAACGAAATGGGTCGTTCACAAACGATGAAATATTGAAATAGAATAAAAGGAACGCGCCCATCTCTAGTTTGAACGGAAAGTTTATGGAAAACAAACCTTGTATTTGTGTTCAGACTACTGGAGAAGTATGCTAGAGTTGATGGAATATTAGAAACATTAAGAGCAGAGGGAGGTACTCAGGAACAAATAGAAGAGGTAATAAAAGACCATTTTTTTCAAAATTAAAGGGAATGTTCGCGAAAAGTGTAAGGATGTATAGACTTACGGCGAAAAATAATCGCTTTTGATTTCTTCTAATCTTACTTCTATCTGTTGCATCTATAAGGAGAAAATTGTTAAAAACGACTTAAACTGAAGAACGTAGCGTCTATACAAATTAAGAAAGTTGCAATGTACGACTCGGATCGTAAAAAAATCAATTTAATTTCAAACAATTCATTCAGATATTACAACCAATGTCATCGATTATATTTTGACGCATTGGTAAATGGTTAATATTTCATAATATTTTTTATTCGTTTTGTATCTGATGCACTTTTAACGCAGAAATAGTTGGCCGCCAGATGTCTCTGCTCTCAATGTTTTGAATGATTACACGTGGTAGAGACACCTAGCGGAATTGCGCATTGTATAAAAACTTAATAACAAACATTATGATATATTAACTATATACGGATGAGTGAAAGAATAATCGATGACTATAGGTTGTAATATCTGACAGATTTTTTAAAATTAAATTGATTATTTTACGATACGAGTCGAATATTGAAGCTTTTTCAATTTGCATTGACGCTACGTTCTTCAGTATAAGTCGTTTTAACAATTTTCTCCTTTTAGACGCAACAGATAGAAGTAAGATTAGTAGCGATCAAAAGCGATTATTTTTTGACGTAAGCCTGAACCCCTTACATTTTTCGCGAACACTCCCTTTAAAGGGACTTTAAACGGAATTAGATTAAAGAGTCGATGGTTGAGAAATTTTATCTCTAAGATTACTTGAGGTCGAAGAGATGTTAACTCCACCTGAAAGAGATTCTATACTTAAACTCCAGTACAGAACAGAGCAGCTAAATCTAGCCCAGGTATTCTTAAATCTTCTCTTTGAACAATATAAAGCAATACCCCCAAAAAAAATGTCGCGGATTTCTGAGCAATCTTTCATAAATCATCCCAGGAGTGGCCTCAAGAATTTTGAGCTTGACAGTTTCAGCCGTTTTTACTCTTATCTTATCAGATAAAACTTTCATGGGTCGCGATCAAGAGCTAAAGTGATTAGCTTTCAGCCTATACCCCCTTTCATTTTTCCTTTACTGTCCCTTTAAATTGATCTTTTAGTCTAAAATCATTTATCAATTAAATAAACATAAGTTTGATACTATTGCCTTTGTCCCAATTTATCTGATCATAACTCATGAGCCCCTTGACTGATTTGCCTCAAATTTTGATTGGAGAACTTGGCGGAACCCCGAAAATGTTCTTAGCTTGGTTTAACATTTTTAAACCGAGTTGATTAACTTTTATCAAAAAGAAAGATTAAAAGTTTTCAGGCAAAGCTAGCATTTACATAAAATTTAAAGGTTTTACTCTCAATCAACAAAATAAAATACCTTAACAACTTTTCCCCCCTTTTTAATAAAAAAAGGAAATACATCTTATTTTAGGTCTGTTTTTCCTGAAAACACATATTTAAAGTAAATTTTAATAAATTTATAAAATTGNACGTCACAGATACATTTGCCATAATTATTACACTTGCCATAATTACACTTACCATTCTTACACTTGCCATAACTTCACTTGCTATTGCTATACTTGCCATAAATAAACTTGTCATTACTACACTTGATATAGTTACACTTGCCTTAAGTCACTTTTGCCATAATGGTTATACTTGCCAATTGCCATAATTAAATTTGTCACAATATTTTAACTCTTGCAAAGATATAAATCTAACATTCCATTCTCATGCTGATTATTCGTCAAAAGATTTATTTCAGTTAAGTGCAGAATTTCGTTATTTAAACCCCGTTTCCCAGGATGTTCTAGAACGTCAGATTGATCTTTCGTTTACTCCGCAGGATTCAGATCTCGATCTTGATCTAGTTTTTGAAATTGAAAAATGTTGCAGGTAAGATTATTTTTTAATCAATTGTTTGATTTTACTTTGATGCCGGGGTTCCCTTTTAGATCTTTCTGTTATATTTTCATATTTAATTTAAGTTTTGAAAATGGTTTTCAAAGATTTGTGGGAAAAAGATGAAAATTGGACATAATCCGGGAAATTTCTCCCGAGTAAAGAACTTTTGACTCAATAATTAATGTAATGAGGTAAAAAAGAATTATTTTATGAAACAATTTTTTCTTTAAACCTTTGTGTCTGGTAAACTTTAGAACTTTGTGTCTGGTTAACTTTAAAACTTTGTGTCTGGTAAACTTTAAAACTTTGTGTCTGGTAAACTTTAAAACTTTGTGTCTGGTAAGCTTTAAAACTTTGTGTCTGGCAAACTTTAAAACTTTGTGTCTGGTAAGCTTTAAAACTTTGTGTCTGGTAAACTTTAAAACTTTGTGTCTGGCAAAGATATCTTTGTTTTTGTATGAGAAAATTGCTAAGTTTTCAAGGACTTTTCTTCAAGAAACGACCAAATCTGCCTCATTGTTTCCAAAATAACAGTTTAAAGGGTTTTAGGGAACGTGATCAGTCCCTTAAAGAAGAAAAATATTTTAGTTGGATCTGTGAACGAGGGTTGAGACGAGTAGCTCTTCAGTTCCCGGATTCTCTTCTCAGTTTAGCACCAGCTGTTGCTGCACGGATACATGTTAGTAATTATCAATTTGGAATGCTTCGCTCCGACCTTTTTTAATTTCCCAATCGTTTTTTTTTATTTTTTATTTAGAAAAAAGCATTCCTCAGTTTTCAAAGAAGGTAACAAAACGAAATGCCTATTAAAATTGTTTCCTTTTAATTAAAATGCTTTGGCCTTTCTAGCCTCCAGAAGATGAAGTATTGGGGGACACTAGCTATGTTGAATATAATCATTAAAGGGAATGATAGAACGTGAAGTTTTGGGAGATACTAGCTATAGTGAATATATAATTAATAAAGGGTAGAATAGAAAATGAAGTATTTGTGCTATGGGATACTAGCTTTGGTGAATATATAATTAATAAAGGGTAGAATAGAAGATGAAGTATTTGTGCTGGGAGATACTAGCTATGGTGAATGCTGTGTTGACGAGGTTGCTGCCCAGCATCTGAATGCTGACGCTGTTATTCATTTTGGTCACACTTGTCTTACTCCGTCACAGGTAGATATTTTAAAAGTTATGAATAGGGAAATATTTTTTTTTTACAAAGGGGGGAGGGAGGAGGAATAAAAAATTATCCACTGGAATGCCCCCATCCCCCTCTTCTTTTGATAATTTTAAACCCAAACTTCATTTTTATTTATGTTTTAATGATAAAAAATAATACAGAAAACGGGATTCAAATTATTAAATAATTATAATAATTATAATTATAGCATTAAATGATAATGATGACAATGATAATATTTTTTAGAATTTACCAGTCCTCTACGTGTTTACAAGACGAGATTTAAACCTTGAACTTTTCTTAAATATTCTCAGGAAACCAAATATTAGAAAATATTAAAGAAACTGGACAACAAACTATGAATTTTTAATTGTTAATAGGCGTAGTAAACGTTTTTTAAGTGACCCTTTAATGTAAGAATGGGATGTCCGATTCACATTTCTACCCTTAAACACCTTTATCAAGCAGCCATTGATTTTTCTATCTTGAACATATTAAAGTCACGTTTGTGAGAAACCACTCAGACAAGAAAAGATGAATAATGAATATCTTTGTTATTCGCTCCTCTTAAAATGGAGACTCATTAAAAATCACGTTGCAAATTGCAATTGCCAGTTATTTTCAACCCAACTTATTTCTCAAATTAAAAATATGAATTTTAAGAAAAGTTTCAGTAAGATTTTAAATTACCTTTCATATAAAGGGAGTGTTCGCGAAAAAGGAAAAGGGGGTATAGGCTTACGGCGAAAAATTATCGACGGTGATCGCTACTAATCTTTCTTCTATCTGTTGCGTCTATAAAGAGAACATTGTTATAAACGACATATGTTAATTTGGATTATCCAGCAATATGAACTGAAGCGTAATCTGCAGAAGTTGAATTTGGACGACGACATTATAAAGAGAAATTAGTTGAGTACGCCTTCCCTCCCTCGTGGCATCAGATATATATATATATATATAAAGTTCTAAAAGTATGAACTCCATTGTTGCATAACTGTATTTGAATCTTATTTTTCTAATCCAAATATTTCCTTTTTAGTCCAGGACTTTTAAGATTCTCAAAGAAAAACCTTTAAAAGGGATTTTTAAAAAAATGTGGGAAGGGTTTATACTTAAAATTAAAAATGTTAAAGGATGAAACGAGATGATGTGGGCTGGAATTCAAAGATTGTGTTATTATTAACTTGAATTTCATTCAATATTTGAAAATGAAAATGAATTTAAGAAATTTTAAATTTTTTAATTGTTTAAAATTGCAAATTATTTTACATTTGAAAAAATAAAATACTTTTAAATGTTAATTCTTTTTTTTTTTGATCAAAAAAATGATATTTTTTTGTATTTGGTTTAGCGATAAGTTTACTGTTCATGATAAACTTCTTCTGCTCTACGATGTAGAGTATGATCATGTTATCTCTAACCTTGAGGTTCCAGATCTCCATCTGGTGGTCGGAGTACCATCAGAGGAAACTGAAATCTTATCTGCGGGTTGGATCAGGGAAACAAGAAAATATAAATATTATCATATTTATTAAAAGTCTTTCTACATTATCAAACTAACGAAAAAAAATGATGGTTTCGCAGATTTTTCCGTTAACATCGGTGGATTACTGAAATTATTTAAATTCGAAATTTTTAAGGATGGAACATTTTAACTTCACATTCATTACCTATAGGTCTCACAATAATTTTAAAAGCCTGATTTTTTTTCTCAAAAAATATATTTCTTTAGTTTTTCAGAAAATTTGGAAGAAAATTTAATATTGAAGGTTGGGAGTTATTAAAAGATTATAAGGTAAGATATTTTATCTTTTTCAACCTCTCTGCTATTATTAAATGCATACATACCTAAACTGGGTCTGCTTCACAATTCGAAATTCAGTCTGCTACACTCATTTCTATACTGGGTCTGCCACACTATATTCTTAACTGGGTCTGCTACACCATATTCTAAACTGGGTCTGTAAAACTATATTCTAAACTGGGTCTGCTACACTATATTCTTAACTGAGTCTGCTACACTATATTCTAAACTGGGTCTGATACACCATATTCTAAACTGGGTTTGCTACACTATATTCTTAACTGGGTCTGCCACACTATATTCTTAATTGGGTCTACCAAACCATATTCTAAACTGGTTCTGTTACACCATATTCTTATCTGGGTCTGCTGCACTATATTCTAAACTGGTTCTGCTACACCATATTCTAAACTGGGTCTGCTACACCATATTCTTAATTTGATCTGCTGCACCATATTCTAAACTGGTTCTGCCACACCACATTCTGAACTGGGTCTTATATTCTAAACTGGGTCTGCCACACTATATTCTAAACTGGGTCTGCCACTCTATAATCTAAACTGGGTCTGCCACACTATAATTAAAACTGGGTCTGCTACACTATATTCTAAACTGGGTCTGCCACACCATATTCTAAACTGCGTCTGCCACACCAAATTCTAAACTGGGGCTGCCACACCATATTCTAAACTGGGTCTGCTACATCATATTCTAAACTGGATTTGCTACACCATATTCTAAACTGGGTCTGCTACAATCTATTCTAAACTGGGTCTGCTACACCATATTCTTAATTGGGTCTGCTACACCATATTCTAAACTGGATCTGCAACACCATATTCTTAACTGGGTCTGCTACACCATATTCTAAACTGGGTCTGATACACAAAATTCTACACTGGGTCTGCTACACCATATTCTAAACTGGGTCTGCTACACTATATTCTAAACTTTTGGAGTCCTCTTGGAACAGTGTTCGTTTATACAGGGATACGTCTAGGTTTGTTCTCGAACAATGAACCTGCACAATGGTTAAACAGCTAGTTTTTCCTCGAGAGTCTTTCAGATATCTAGGTAAAGAGTTCCATAGTGAGACTATTCTGTTACAGAAAAAATGTTTCTTATTTGGGTAATTTCAGGGTAAACTAAACAGCCTATTCGCTGTTGAATGGTATTAGTCAAAGACAACTGTGGCCGGAGAAAAAGCCGATTTTTCGTTCAGGTACTTGAAAGTGTCTATATATCACTGTGATTTATAAGTGTATATTGCACGAGTACTGAAGTATCTTAAGTGTCAGTATCACCAAAAAACTTTTACTTTTAAGATTTTTATTAAAGAAACATTTTAGAAACTCCTTTCTAAACTACAGTTCAAACTTCTAAAATTTTCATTAGAGGGAGGTTTTCAGGAACTAATTACAAAACTCTTTCTATTCTGAAGTTAAATCATACCTACTTCTATTCGAGATCAGCCATTTTGGCCCTCCTTTCTATCTTTTTGAAAAATAGACAGATTTTTCAAGATCAGCTCGGCTTATGAAAGACCTCTTTTAGAAGTGAATCAAGCGTAATATAGCCTGGGTCTGCTACACTTAATTCTAAACTGGGTCGGCTATTTTTTGTTTGTTAAGAAAACCATCCATCTTTCCATCTATCTATCTATCTATCTATATATTTTACTATCTATCTATCTATTTATCTATCTATATATCTAATTATCTATCAATCTATCTTTCTATCTATCAATCTATCTAGGTTGTGTATGTAAGTACTGGGGATGGAGGGGATTTAAAGTTGATGAATTTTAATCTCAGGTATTATTTAATTTTTTAACAAAAAAAATTTTTTTTGAATGCATCTGTTTAAATGTGACCAGATTTTCATTTATTTGAATGAATTTGTAAATTTCAAAATATATATTTACCATCGTTTATTTGAGTTGAAGGTCTAGAATTTAGCAATAACAACCATCAGCATTTTCTTGAAATGTAAATTAAAAGTGTATTTCTTTAACAGGATTTATATTTAGTTTTGCTGGAAATGATTTTTATGTATACTGCAATGGAGAATTGGTTCCTGGGAACTCTTCAATAAATAAACTTCTGATGAAGAGATATTTCCTTATTGAAAAAGCGAAGGTAAGTTTTTCATCCCCCCACCCTTCCCCAAACCAGCTGAAACCTCTCGTTATATTTAACAAANTATAAATGTTGAGGACAAATAAATCGTCCCTTTATATGAGTACAGAGTCCGAATTTAATGAATTTGAGACGCATCTCAAATTTAAGCCACGGCTCAAATTCTTTAAATTCGTCTTAAAGGCCTTTTATATAAAAACCTTCCTTCATTTATTGCTCCAAAAAATATTTAGTTTGGATTGATCAATGAGCATCATCATTGAATTTAAATCAATACTTGACCATAAAATTGTGAAATTGACGTCAAAATTTTGCGTGATTTTATTTCTACACCGAGCGCTCACACGATTGCGGTTTGGGTTTTCCAACTGGAGGGGGGGGGGGCTTTCAGATTATTTCTGATATTCCTTATATTGTAGGGTACCCGCTCATCGAACCTAGAGGAAACGAATCTAACGTTTTTCTGACCTAACGTTTTTCCGACCTAAAAATCTGTAGGTTCGATTAGCGAAATGTCCCAAACTGACCTAAAGATTAGAAATATATTTTGGTCGGTTTTTAATATATTTTAGGTCAGTTGGGAATATACTTCAGGTTGGTTAAAGCACAAATTTTAGGTTAGATAAGCATTCATTCTAGGTCGGTTGAGCAATATTTTTTAGGTCGGTTGAGCAATATTTTTAGGTCGGATGAGCAATATTTTTAGGTCGGTTGAGCAATATTTTTAAGGTCAATTGAGAATTTTTTTTAGGTCGGTTGAGCAATATTATTAGGTCAGTTGAGCAATATTTTTAGGTCGGTTGAGCAATATTTTTAGGTCGGATGAGCAATTGCTCATCTGACCTAAAAATATTGCTCATCCGACCTAAGAATATTGCTCATCCGACCTAAAAATATTGCTCATCCGACCTAAGAATATTGCTCACCCAACCTAAAAAAAATTGCTCATCCGACCTATAAATATTACTCATCCGACCTTAAAAAATTTGATCATCCGACATAAAAAAAATTGCTCATCCGACCTAAAAAAAATTATGTTTCCGACCTAAAAATATTGCGTATCCGACCTAAAAATATTGCTCATCCGACCTAAAAAAATTGCTCATCCGACCTAAAAAATTGCTTAACCAACCTAAAAATATTGCTAAAACACGTAGGTCAGAAATCCTTAAGGTTAGAATCATCTAGGTCGGAATATACGGCACATATCGTAGGCCTGCGTTGCCTCGTCTTGGCAAAAATATTGAGGATTTAATTGTAGCGTTCCTACAGTAGTAACCAGAAAACAATAGAGAAACTGTTGCGCCTTTGCTCTTTTCTTTAATTAGAAATATTGCTTTGTATTTTGTAACTCAAATTTGAAAATATCATTTTTATGAATTAAAACCAACCATCACAAGACAGGGGTCCATATAATTTCATACAATACTATCCCAAATGTTGATTAATTGATATTAGAGGCAGAAATTAACTGTAAACAATTGAAAGTATGATGTCAAGTTGTAGAAAACTAAAAAACATTACTACTGCAGAATGTATACTGCAAGTGAGTGTTTATTTTTCTGCATATCATAATTATCTCTTAGATTGATTACTGATATTAACATTTGTTTTAAAGATCTGGATTTTTTCTACATTGTTAAAAAATATTTACACCCGCCCCCAACCCCAGAGGCAGAACACATTTTTTAAGCGTAGTACACGTACACAAAAAAACTTGCCGCAGTGTACAATGACACTGCAGAAGTGTATCTTCATGCCCCTAAATGTACTTCCAACCCCGATCCCATTTGGGATTAGAAATGATTATATGGACCCCTGTTACAAGAAAGTGCGAAGCCGGTATCAATCCGCTGATTTATGATTACTACTTTACTTAATTAGTCATTGATAAGTTTCTTTCCTCTAGGACGCTGAGCGTATTGGTATACTTGTCGGAACCCTTGGCACTAGCAGTTTTAACACCATCATCAATCAATTAAGGTTTTATTTTTATTTATTTTATTTTCGCGCCATTTGCAGTCATTCTCTTTATGTAGAGTTCAGTCAATAGACACTAGACAGTTACTAGACATTTGCAGTCATTGTCTTTATGTAGAGTTTAGTCAATAGACACTAGACAGTTACTAGACATTTGCAGTCATTATCTTTATGTAGAGTTTAGTCAATAGACACTAGACAGTTACTAGACATTTACAGTCATTGTCTTAATGTAGAGTCTAGTCAATAGACACTAGACATTTGCAGTCATTATCTTTATGTAGAGTTTAGTCAATAGACACTAGACAGTTACTAGACATTTGCAGTCATTGTCTTAATGTAGAGTTTAGTGAATAGACGCTAGACATTTGCAGTCATTGTCTTTATTTAAAGTTTAGTCATTAGACACTAGACAGTTACTAGACATTTGCAGTCGTTGTCTTTATGTAGAGGTTAGTCAATAGACACTAGACAGTTGCTAGACATTTGCAGTCATTGTCTTTATGTAGAGTTTAGTGAATAGACGTTAGACATTTGCAGTCATTTGCAGTCATTGTCTTTACGTAGAGTTTAGTCAATAGACAGTGGCTTAAATTGTAAATAAAAATTAAATGTAATTTAAGTAAGTAAGTAAGTAATATTTATTGCACAATAACATGTTAACATATTAAAGTGACAGGAGATATACAATTCGCAGGATTGCGGTTTACAACGAAGATCTCATATTTTATCTAACTTATTTATTAATTTCATGGTTTGATTACATTGATAAATTAAGGAGTAATAGAATTAAGATAAAGATTTTTTTACAATTTACATTTAACAGAATTACAATGATACATGGGTACATATACGACCGTTTTTATAAAGTTCGTCGTTTCGTTAATGATCCTTAACGACCACCCTTCGTTAACGATCGTTAACGACGAACCTTCGTTAACGATCTTTAACATAATAGTCAATAAATTTTATTTTTCAAAAGCGATCGTTATTTTTTTTTTAAATCGTATAAAAACGGTCGCAAATCGTTTTTATAAAAACAATCGTTTTCAAAGACGATCGTTATTCGTTTTTTAAAAGTTCAAAACGAGTGGGTCGTTTTTAAAAACGATCTTTTTCCGAAAACAAAACGATCGTTTTTGAAAACGATTGAAAATGAAACAAAAAACGATCGTTTAACGATCTTTTTCAAAAACAATTAAGAACCATAGGCACGCCACACCACACTATATTTTCGTCTGCACTACAGATGACGTCAAAACTCACCATGATCACACCTTTTTTCGTCCGGGCGTTGCTTCTGTGCTTTTAAATGTATTTTTTACGTCTGTTTACCCTGTTTTAACTTTAGGCAACGTCATGTCATTCAAAATGGTTTGATTTTGTTAAAAAAAAAAAATTTAAGCCCAATTTAGCAAATTACTGAAAATATGGCTATCTTGCATATTTTTCGTTTGGCACAAGTTTCTGTCGTTTTACGATTTTACGCCTAAACTGCAAATTCTAGATCATATTGGGACTTTTAGAATCTTCAACTAAACATATTTTTATTAGTAGGAGACATATCAATTGATTCCATATTTTTACTTCTTTTCAGAACAAACCTATAAACATATTCATTTGTTAACCTTTACTACTAGCTACTTAAAATCCTGTTTTTTTAATCAATAAAACTTGGAACTGTTTTTTCTCTTCAAGGGGAATAACAAAAACATGTTTCTCTCACCTACACAAGAGTACTTGTATTTTTGTTAGAAACATGACATTTGTTAAAAACACGTTAATTAAATTTGAGATTTAATTCAAAAAGAAATTGTCATTTATTATCATTCATTTATGTTTTGAAAGCCCGTAAAGTTTTTAATTATCATTACCTTTATGATAAAGCTCTTCGCTATAGCCGGCCAAGACGGCTGGATCGAATGAGCTGAATTTTTTTGAGGAAACCTCTTGAGTTCCCCGGGGGTAAGGCTTAACAAATTCGATTTTTTTTTATAAATCAAAATATTTTTTTCAAAAATCGAATTTTGAAAAAAATACAGCTAGTTTTATAAACCTACGGCGATTATGAAAGCCTCCTCTGCCACCTTTGAAGAAAATGTTATCTACAGAACTCTTCACCCCCCCCCCCTCTACAGGAAATGGATTTAGCGTACATATGTTGTACACTTTGAGCCTGTTATACCTCTAAGTGTAAATTGTACTTCACTATACAACTGTACTCTCACAAATAATTCAGTCTACAAGAAACCATGGTACAAAAACGAACACTGTTCTAGGATATGGTTCTAAAAGAGGAGTTTAGAAGTTCACGGATATGGTTCTAAAAGAGGAGTTTAGAAGTTCACGGATATAGTCCCAAAAGAGGAGTTAAGTTGATGAATATGGTCCCATAAGAGGAGTTTAGAAGTCAACGGATATGGTTCCAAAAGAGGAATTTAAAAGTCCACTGATATGGTCCCAAAAGAGGAATTTAGAAGTCTACGGATATGGTCCCAAACGAGGAGTTTAGAAGTCTACGGATATGGTCCCAAAAGAGGAATTTAGATGTTTACGGATATGGTCCCAAAAGAGGAATTTAGAAGTCCACGGATATAGTATATGGTCCCAAAAGAGGAATTTAGAAGTCCACGGATATGGTACCAAAAGAGGAATTTAGAAGTCCACTGATATGGTCCCAAAAGAGGAGTTTAGAAGTCTACGGATATGGTCCCAAAAGAGGAATTTAGAAGTCCGCGGATATGGTCGCAAAAGAGGAGTTTAGAAGTCTACGGATATGGTGCCAAAAGAGGAATTTAAAAGTCCAATGATATGGTCCCAAAAGAGGAATGTAGTGGTCCCAAAAGAGGAATTTAAAAGTCCACTGATATGGTTCCAAAAAAGGAGTTTAGAAGTCTTCGGATATGGTCCCAAAAGAGGAATTTAGAAGTCCACGAATATGGTCCCAAAAGAGGAGTTTAGAAGTCTACAGGGCGTCAACAAGTACATGGAGAAGACTCAGCTCTAGAAACACTGAGATATTGCTGTAAAAGTGTGTGTATTTCTTTATTGTTCCTATCTAATTTCAATTATTTCAAGTAATTTTCTCTAAATTGTATTTTTTTAGATAAAACCAGATCTGACTAGAAAAAATAAAATATTCTTTGACATCTGCGTGTTATTTCTGTCCAAATCTCAATTCAATCAAAGGGTGTATAAAATCGCCCTGTTCTTAATGCGTTGGAAAAAGTAATTGTTTAAATATTGACAACAATTTTAGTTAAGAATCTTGAAGTTAAGCATTTTATTAAAAGTTATTTCTAGGGCAACAATCAAGAAATGCGGGAAGCGCTGCTACACCTTTTTGGTCGGGAAACCAAATGCCGCGAAGCTTGCAAATTTCCCCGAGATTGATATCTTTGTTCTCGTTTCATGTCCAGAAACAGCTTTCCCGGATACATCGGTAATATTTTATTTTAAATCCTGACCCCCCCCCCCATCTTTCCTTTTTGCGCATTTATATATGTAGTACGAAATACCATTTAATAAACATCAAATCTTTATAAATAGTATATCTTATATTGGCAACCAACAATTTTATCAACCATGATATTTATTTAGCCATTAAAAAAATTTATGGGTCGAGATCAATTCTTGCGCTTAGGATTACTTATTCGCTTGAAAGACTGGAGGGGGGGGGGGTCTCTTAATTTTTTATTCAAGTTTTTTTTATTATACAGAATTTCCTTTAAAATATGGCAGATTGTGATGGACCAAACCTCTGTAGAGTAAAAAAGTAGATGTTAGTTCCACATTTATTGAAAATATACTTCGGTCTTGGTTGACCCTCGTCAGTTCTAATGAAAATAACCATCAAAATCGATTAAAAAAAATTTAATTGTTAAAAACCACAGAAATTAAACAAACAAAAAAGATTTAAAAACGAAAATGTGGCTGTCAAATGGACAGAAGGGAAAGGAACTCAGATTATGGGCAATTCAAGATTGACAACGATACATTGAAAAGCTTTGTCTGATATGAATTAGATATCAATGTTTATAATTTGGAAAATTTCAATTGTGGTTTCTCTTCAAAAGTGGCTTCCGCATATCTACTACAGGAAACCAAAAAGAAATTATCAGAATTAAACATTTTAAACATATAAAACGACGACATCTTGTACATAAATGATTCGAGCTGAAAACTTTTGAATGTGATATCCTTAATCCCGATCTGTTAATTAATCTGGAGATTAGATTCATGAGGACAAGAAGCAATATTTAATCTGGAAATTAAGAAAAAGAGTGGATCAAGCATTAATCCCAATATCCACCATTCTAAAGTTCCCAGCTCAGATAACGTTATGAAGGGTAAGGTTGTATAACGAGCATTGCCAACTTTTCTTGGAGGGTCAATTGAATATACACTAGCAGTCCCTTTAAGTATTTAAACAAGTCTTATATGCTGTGTTTGAAGGAGTACTACCAGAATGTGATATCTCCGTATGAACTTGAGATTGCTTGTAACTCCAACAGGGTGTGGGGAGGAGATTATATCACAGACTACAGGTTAGTTCATTTGTTTACCCCATTTTGACCAACATTACCAACCAATGATGTTAAGAAAAATAACGGCCACCATTCTGCGGTTTTCGTTAAAATAAAAAATTGAACATTTTCATCCTCTAAGCCGATAAAATTGTATAAAACTACTTTTTCTGGAAATTAAAAATGTGACTATTCTTTGGGTCACTTCGTTTCAGAAACCCTTGGTAAAGTAAAATCCTTTAACTTCCAGGTGTAGTATTTTTAAATAATTATTTTTTTTTTCGATTTATATTTTTTATCGTTCTAGCTTCGGAACCCAGCGTTTCTCAGGTTACTCATAGTCATGCCGTTTACCCGCAATTGGTCGATTTTACCGGGGAACTAAATTTTTGAAATAAAAGTCGACCCACTCAATTTCAATTTTTTAAGCAAATCGGTCTATGATTCCTGAGTTATAATCGAACAAACGAACAAACAAACAGAGAGACAGGCAAACAAACAAACAGAGATTACTACTTTTTATATAAATTCTTTAAAAGAGCGAGATTCTGAATAAAAAGATTAAATCAAGAAAAAGAAGATTAAATCATGAAAAAGAAGATTAAGACATGAAAAAGAAGAATAAAGCATAGATAAATATTTTGAGTTCTAACTATTTTTGTTTCTCTGTAGTGCTTACTAAAAAGATGAATGCATGGTGTTTGAGAGTAGTTTATGTAAACATTTGATTTATAAAACAGTAAATATTTTTCTTATAAAATCAGGGACAACTTCGTCGTTGCTAGATAGAAATCAAACAACGAAGTAAAGTAAAACCGTGGTTTATCTTACAAGGGGATTATTAAACAAATAAAACGGATCCGCCCAAGTTATTTAGAAATATTTTAGGGGTTTTTTCCGAAAAAGTTTTAAAATATATATCCCTCGTATTAATACCTACATTGTTGAACTTTGTATAATTTCAGGGACCTTCTGTACGGTACCCCTGGGTTTATTGAGCCTCCTGAGGTCCCTGGCCACCTCCCTGACGTGTCCCTGGTGTCAGGACGAATGAGGGGCGGAACTGGGCGGGTGGATGGAGAGGGTGGGGAACTAGTGGTGGTCAATGATAGAACAATCGGTTTACTTCACTCTGGTGGGGGCGGGGAATTTCTGGCCAACAGGTAACAAGCTTTTTGTAGTTAAAATTAAATTTAAATAAATAAAAATAAATTAGATTTAATTAGATTAAATTAAAGTAACGCAAAGTAAACTAAATTTAAAATTACATTAAAGATTTAGAATCTGAAAAAGAAAATTTATTTTAAAATGGAAGAAAAATATTTTTTTTATCAGAACCTGGTCTGGGTTAGAGCAGAAGCTAGGTCAAACTGAGGTCGGAGGAATAGTTCAGGAAAGGGGGAAATATATAAAACTTTTTTAAAATTCCATTTTTAAAATTTTAACTCTTTTATATGAAAATTGAAAACTATTTTTCTACATTCATGCCTAAATATATAGATCTATTAAGGACAAAAAACCTTGTTTTGACATTAAAAAAATGCAATACTTATTTATTTTATTTTGCATCTACATTTAATTTCTTTTACATATTTATATTTTTTTTACTTGTCTGTCTGTTTGTTTGTTTCCAATAAAGAAAATTACGGCCAAATCAATTGGTTCCTATTCCTCAAAATGTCGTGGGATAGGTTTAGATGATTTGTCGAAATTAAAAATAATGCCTGAAGAATTTGTATTTAAGTTAATTTGAGATGACCGCCAATTGTGCTAAGTAAAATTGCGGCATTTCTAGTTATTATTTTATTTACCCCGAGTATCTCAGGGCAAAGATGGGATAGCTGCTGGATATTCTGATGAACCCGTTTTAGAGAAAAAATAAATCAATATTTTCTAAATTGACGACATATTTCTTTTCCATATTAATGAGCTAAGAATTCTTCAATGATTAGATACATTGGATCAAAAGTTGATTTAGTACATCTGCTATTATAATCTTATGGGATGAGAGTAAAAATGGAAATTCTGAAATATTATTTATTTATCCTTCAACCAAAAAATTGTAAGGTTTGCGTTGAACACTTATCGAGGGAAATAGCATTTTTCACACAAGAGGAATTAAAATAAAACCCTTCTTATCTAAATCTAAATTCATATTTGGTGGATCACAATTTTATTTCATAAAAGCATTTTTGCATTTTGGGGTTAGGTTTAGTCGAAGAGCAGTTATAATATATGGAGTATATACTTTGTATAATACTTTATAATATATAATATATGGGTATAAAGCGTACCTCAGTAAATATTTATATATCTAATCCTTAATCAGGATGAAAATTACCCATTTAAAAAGCATAAATTTTCGTGAATTCTAGTTCTTAACTAGTATCCTGTATCATTAACATTTTTTAACCGCTGCCAATACAAATATTTTTTTTAATTTTCAGATAAAGATGTCGCTCGGATTGAAAGGGGTGGTACAAGCTGAAGCCTTCTCCTCGGTGAAACTTGGTAAAATTTATGTGCAATGTGCATGGTCCTACTCCAATTAAGAAATGAGATTTTAATAGTAAGGCTATTAGTGCGCTTCGCCCCTCTCCTTTTTCTTTTAACAATTAAAGTAAAAAATTTTGAATATTGCTCTTCAAGGCGTCACGGCACTGCGCTCACCTGTATTGCTTCCTTGTGGCACAAATATATTTTACGTCAAAATGTCTTAACTTTTAAATGCTTTTTTCCGTCTTAAAAATTATTTTTTACATACCTGAATAACGCATTTTTGCGTGCGACTTTGTTAAAAATTATTTAAAATCAGATAGATAGAATTAAGATAATTACAAATCAAATTCCACGCTAAACTGCGGTATTTCTGGAAAAATTTAATTTTTCTCTACCTTCAAAAAAAAATTAGATAAGATCAACATCAGAAGGTATGTACAAAATTTTTTTAATTTAAGTAGGAATTATGCATATAAAAGTTAAGATATTTAGCCGGAAGATATGTGGGCGCGGCTTCCCTCCTCCCCCCCCCCCTCTTTGAAGAAGCAATTTTTCTTAGAAATTGTAAAACCCAACTTTTTGCAGATTTTTTGTTTAAATTGGTTCATTTCCAAAGATAATAAATGTTAAATTATTTATTATCAGGACTGAAGCCTGGAGGAACTCCAAATCTAGTTTTAACCCCCTCTACCTCCTCCAACCCTACCCGGAGTAAACAACCCTGCTCTCCGTACCACCAGTCTACTCCTTCTAGGTCATTACAAGCCAGCAATGCGTCAGCACTTCTTGGAACTCCCATTTCAGGTTTTATCTTTGATCTTTAATTTTTTGGGGTAATCATCTCTGATCAGAGCTGAAAACCTTTGAATGGGATATCCTTAATCCCGATCTGTTAATTGATCTGGAGATTAACAAAAAGCGGAAAACAATATTTAATCTGGAAATTAAGAAAAGAGGAAATCAAGCATTGATCTCGATATCCACCATTTTCAGTTGTCAGCTCTGATTAGCAACGTAAACAAGCATAATAAAAAAGTTTAAATGTTGCAGAGTTTTCTTTGTTTAAGATGAAATTAAAATTTTATGAAAAATTTTGATTTGATAAAAAGAGTTTTATAATTCTGACTAGGGGGAAACCCACTTGTTTTTTATAGTCAGGTCCAACAAAATTTGAGTCCAAATTTTTAAGTTAAAAAATCTGAAATGGTACAACACAACACACAATACACATTGGCTTAGTTCCTGTACCAAGTTTAAAGGAAGAATCGATCTCAACCCATTCTATTTCCACTTTTCGACTTTTTTCAACAAACTCTATCTTTAAGGACGGAAAGACACAGGTCTAGACCGACCAGGAACTCCTTTTGGTCGATCCTCACCCTTCGCTTTTCTTCATCGCCTCACACCCAGTAGGAGGTGGTGCCATATTGAAATATTTTATTTTTAATTTTTTTGGGACAATTAGAATTTTTAATATTTCCAAGTGATTGGCTAATCCGGGGTTTATGTATCTCATTCTTCTAATTTGTTCAATTATTAGTCTATTATTTTTAAAAAATTTGTTTGCTTATCCCTATTCTAAGAATCATATCCTTTATTTATTATCTTAGGTTAATTGAATAAATTTTATTTTCGGATTTTTAAACACCAGTGATAAACATTTGCCAAACTTAACGTTGTTGAAGAAGTTTTTAAATGAAGCAATTACGTATAAGAAGTAAAAAATACATTATTCCGTCTCGAATGTCGTCTTCCTTTCAACGAATTGAAAACTAAGATATTTAACTTCTATCTCTTACACATATAAAAATTATGTAGCAAACATTCGCAATGTAAAAGAATCTGTTGAAATATTTTATAATTTAACGTTTTAAGATCAAAATACAGTAGCCTGGGCATTAAATCACTCATATTAATGTGGCATTGGAAGAAATAACTTGCGGGCTTATGTACAATTGTCCATGTTTTTTTTTTTTGGGGGGGGGGGCTTACAATAACAAATGTACAAACTCCGCTTTTCTAATCGCTTTATCTTTGCAACCTGGCGGTGTAAATCTTTGATATTTCAAACTTTGACTATTTAAACTACAGAATTCATAAGTAAAAAAAATTAAAGTTTGTGACAAAAACAATTCCTTTTGTTAAAACTTTCAGGAATTCCTGGTCTGCGAATACTCCTGAGTGTGCTAGGGACCTTGAATGGTGTAACTATGTTGATTGTAACACACCAAGGTACGGATTAAGATATTTGCTCCTCATCTCATAATTAATGGTAGTTATCTACGGATATGTTAATTACTCTAAGGTCTGATTGAGAGTACATAAGATAAGTAGTTCAACTGCCTCTCAATAATTTAATTTGACCTCAAAGTTGGTATTCAATAAGTAGAAGTAATTAATAGCTAAACTAGATATAACCAATTCAACTACTTTTTTTAAGTGGCCAAGTAATTGAATTAGATTTAGCCAATTCAACTACTTTTCTAAAGTAGCCAAGTAATTGAATTAGATATAAACAATTCAACTATTATTCTAGAGTGGCCAAGTAATTTAATTAGATTTAACCGATTCAACTACTTTTCTAGAGTGGCCAAGTAATTGAATTACATATAACCAATTCAAATGTTTTTCTACAGTGGCCAAGAATGCTCAAAAGATGTAGTTAACCTTGTCATATTTAGATCAACTATTTTTCTTTATTTATTAGACCCGACCTCACAAGTGGTTTAACTCAACGTTTCTGTTTCAACTAATTCTAGCGAGGGTTGTATTATAAGGTTAGTTACTCTCTTTGCGCTCCAATGTCCTGGAAAAAATGTCGTCTCCTAAGATAGATAGATAAAAACCTCATATAACGTCACTTATAATCTGTGACGTCACACGTGGATTTTATCTTTAGCTTAGAAGACGCATCGAGAGTAACTAACCTTATTATACAACCTTGGTTCTAGCCATTAATTCATTTCTACCCTAGCAGTGATTCTGAAAGAAGCTTGAATTTATTTATTTAGGAGTCGGGCACGCTGGGAGTTTAAATCTCCCCTGAAGGGTAGCCCAGCCAAGGAATATATCAATGACAAGGTTTATAGTAGGCAATAGGGTGGCTCATACAAAGAGAACCAGAAAGCAGTGGACATTGCGTAGTCAGATTTTTCTATTTAATAAATGTCGCTACGGATTGAGACATCTCAGTTGTTGTAATTGCAAGGTCTAAACGACATTTTAAGTAAACGAAATAACAAAGAGGACATTAACTTCATAGTTTTCTGTTCACACTTTATCTTATTATGATCATTAAGTAAAATGTCTAAAGAAAATACCGATTCAGTCCTAATTTAAAGTTCGTTGGTTACTAAATACAAAGAAGCCGGTAAACACCTCGGAAGATTGGGTTTCGGCGTTTTTGTTTTGTTTTTATAGAAGAGAATCTTTCCATACCCCTAGGATTTTTCCCCTATTCTATAATCTTTATGATTTTGAGTCTGAAAACCAGTGCTTAGGATCCGGATCAGTTGGATCCGCAAGATTTTGGCTTCCTGGATCCAAATCCGGATCCGCAAAAATATGGGGATCCACGGATCCGGACCCAAGGGGTAAAATATCAACCAAAAACGACTAAAAAAATTTTTACTCCTAAACCCCACTCTAAACTTTTGAATAAAGAGATTGTAAAAATTTCCTCATTTCTGAATGGTTCATCAAGTTTTGAAAATTATTTTTAGTTTAAAAAAAATCAGTAAATCTTAAAGAAATGACCTGGATCCGGATCCATTTTTTGCAGTGCGGATCCAGGATCCGGATCCGCATCCGCATCAAAATTAAATGGATTCTAAGCACTGCTTATTATTTGTCATCGTTATATTTTGACAAATCCCTTGGTCGGAATTTCGTGTCAAATATCTTTAAAATTTGAGGATAAATCCTTAATATTTTAATTTTAGTTATCCCTGGAGGGAATATTTTCCATGGGGTATCAAACAGGAATTAAATACGATTGGAGATCAACGCTTGATCAATTAAAGTTCTGATTGCCGGAGTGTACAGTGTACACTGTACAGCAGTAGGGGTAAACGATTTTGGCCATTGCGCTATGTACATAGTATTGATTTTGGATATTAAAACAACATTTAGAAAAGGCAATTTGTACGTAATTTGAAATTGTCACCCGGAAACCGGTTTTTTTAATTTGAGATAGAAAAACTCTCTGCAAGCGGGGGAAAAAATTCTTCAAAATACATCGATATGAATACCTAAAGATTTTTCTTGAAACTCTGAATTCTGAAATCCTAAAATCGTAAAAAACCGTTGATAATTATATAAATTGGAGGCAAAAAACTACCATTTGAGACTTTAAAATGGCAGAGCCCCAAAAAAATAAGTTTTAACAATACATCAAAAAAGTTTGAAAGTTTTGAAACTCTGGTTTTTTTTGAAATGCTGAATATCAATTGCGGTCACGGTTTTTAAGTCTGAAAATAAGTCTGAAATTCGGCAAAAACTATTGTTTTTATGGGCACATAACCTCCATTTCTGAAACACCTTTTCATTTTGATGCGGATCCGGATCCAGGTTCTAAATATTTCCTCAGATTTACTGATTATTTGAACTAATTAAAAATGTCGGCAATTTTTCTCATTTTTTCACAATGCTGAAACTTTATGAACCAAGGAGGAAGTTGTTAATCTCTTATTAGATACAATTGAGATGCGTGTTTAAAAAGAAAAAATATTAATTTAGCAGACTTTGATGGATCTGGATCCAAATTCAAGGAGCCTAATTGTTGCGGATCCGGATCCTTAGCACTGACATATTACTTACTCTGTTATTCTGCAAATTAACAACTTCACACAGTTTGTTTTGAGCAATAAATATAACATTAACTCCCGTAAAACAAAGTTACTGCAGTTGCTGGGATGAATGTAAACACATGTCGACTGTCTAGGCAAAGTTTTGTTTATTAAATTAAATGTTAACATTATTCCCAGAAAATTCAATGCCATTATGTTATGAAAGTTCCTCTCATATTTGATGCTTTTTTAGCATTACTACACAGTGATAACTAAAAAACCTTGGAATAGGAAGTCGATTTTTGTATTTAAAGAGATTGTGTACCCTGTTAACAACTTTTTTTTACGGTCATTTTGATATTTAAAGAGACTGTTCTCTTGGGGGTGGGAAGGAGAGTTTAATGAATCTTTAGATGTAGATTCGGATTCAGAGGTAGTAGTAGTTGATTATTATTTTGATTATTATTATTATTATTAGCGTTAGCGTTAGCGTTAGCGTTAGCGTTAGCGTTAGCGTTAGCGTTAGCGTTAGCGTTAGCGTTAGCGTTAGCGTTAGCGTTTGCGTTTGCGTTTGCGTTTGCGTTTGCGTTTGCGTTTGCGTTTGCGTTTGCGTTAGCGTTAGCGTTTGCGTTTGCGTTAGCGTTTGCGTTTGCGTTAGCGTTAGATTCTCATTCTGCACAATGCACATGTGTTTGTTTACGTTCCTTATTATTGTTGTTGTCTCTCTTTATTTTCTATATTCATATTGAGTTTAAAGAACTGAAAGCGTAATTTTATGTGACCCTCAATGCATAGATGGCAATGCCTGATTCAAAACAGTACCTTTATCTGATCATCAATAATGTAGAAGAAATTGTCGATTTTCTAGGTTTGAAAGTGTTCAATTATGATAGTTCATTAATGTTTTCCTTCAGTAGAATTGCGCGTGTCAATTATTTGAAAAAGCCACAAATGAAAGCAACATTTAAAAAAGATAAAAGCATTGATATTTAATTCATACTTGATCATTCAAAGCTGTTAAAGGTACAGTTTCTAAATCGGACATTGTCATCTTTTCGTGGAGGGTCACTTTAAATTACGCTAACACTCCCATTAATTGTTCTTTTTAAGGTGTTTGAAGAAGGATATATACCGTTGACTGATCTGAATTCTAGGAAACTAATATAATTATATTTCAAAGGGTATTTATTTCTGGACTTAAAATTTCCGTTAGTCAATGGTTAAGATAATTTGTCTGGTCAACGTCTAAGTCAAGGGTCAAGGTCAAAAGTTTAAGGTTTAGTTGATGTCATCTGTCTAGGTCATATTTATCTGTCAGGTCAAATATATTTGTCTAGGTTAATTATATCTGTCTAGATCAATTATATCTGTATATAGGTCAAATATATCTGTTCAGGTGAAATATATCTGTCTAGGTCAATTATATCTGTCCAGGTCTAATATATCTGTGTATAGATCAATTTTATCTGTCAAGGTCAATTATATCTGTCTAGGTCAATTTTATCTGTCTAGGTCTATTATATCTGTTTAGGTGAATTTGTTCTGTATATAGGTCAAATATATATGTATATAGGTCAATTTTATCTGTCAAGGTCAACCATATCTGTCTAGGTCAAAATTTCTAAATGAGTTAATAGCTTCGAAGTCTAGGCCCCTCCTCTTAGGCTAAGGGGTGAAAGGCTTACAATTAAACATGCATGGGTAAGGTTTTATGAAATGGAGGTCAAGGAACAGACTAAAACGAGGGAACAGAATTGAAGTGAATTTCGATGAATTCCATTTGTTAATAAATAAACATCTTAAATTGGTGAATTGGCAGGGTGACTCATATGCTGCACATTAGAGACTTCGAATCCCTGCCCTCAACCTTATAAACCATGATTGATATGTATACTGTATAGTTTATGTTTAAGTAATATTTATACTTTTATTTGTAGTAATTTTTAGCCAAGGTCAATTTATAGATTATCATGTGGATTGACCCTGATCTGACCCCCCTTCACAACAGTGCCCATGTAACCCATATCTTACAATTTATGCGGGGAAAATAATCGTTGTTTTTCTGTTATGGACATGGGAAATATCTCTTTATTTCCATTTTTGTCTTTCCTGCATAATTCCGAAAAATCCTATAAATTGGATCCTAATTTATTAAGAAGTACAAATAGATAAAACCAAAGATACCACAATGATATGTTTAGACTACGGTCTAGAGGGTACTGTTGTTAAGTCGGGCATGTCACTTTATATTTTGAGAAATACCACAATTTACGCCAACAGTCCCTTGAACCCGATGTTGTTTTGTGACCGGACAGAAGGAACCCATTATTTTATTCTAGCGACGATGTCCCAGAAAATAATCTCAATTGTTTCAGATTTAAAAAATGATTCCCGTGATGGAAATAGTGATGCCTCAGCAGAGCTCAGGAAATGTTCCCGCATTTCTTGCAAAGCTTTGGAAAATTGTAGATAATCCAGAAACAGGTTTGGTTTGGAAAATTGTAGATAATCCAGAAACAGGTTTGGTTTGGAAAATTGTAGATAATCCAGAAACAGGTTTGGTTTGGAAAATTGTAGTTAATCCAGAAACAGGTTTGGTTTGGAAAATTGTAGATAATCCAGAAACAGGTTGGGTCTTGAATCATATCAAAAATAAAGAGATAAAATAAATGAAAAATTAATTTACAGATAAAAACAATATTGAGATGATCCTTACAAGTCCGGTTTAAATATATTATGCAAAACACATTAATTTGTTAAAGCTGTTTGCAAAATTTTGAAGGTGTAAACATCGGCACAAAAAAAGGATTTAAAAATAGAAATTAATTTTCTACTAGGAATAAACGAATCATTTTATTTTTGGAAAGATATATTAAATCAATTTTTGATCAAAATGGACTATTTTTATTATTGATTTAAAGTGAACATAATTGTTTTTACCAGAGACATAATATCAAAATAACTAATATTAATAAAAAGTAATTAAAAGCCAATTAATTTTAATATCTATTTAGATTTGCTAATTAGTTGGACTGATGAGGGTTCATCGTTTATAATCAAAAACCAGGAAAACTGAGAGAAAATATCTTTATTTTGATTCAAAAATAAAATGGAATAATACGACGACATTTGAAGAAAAGCCACCGGTGCCGAAAATAAATAATCTAGTTCTTTAAATTTGTGAATATAAACTTTAATCTACTGTCTTTGCTTGTCTGACTTATTTTGTCGACAATCCACATCTTAACTTCTCATATAAACTAGTTTTTTACTTGAATCATGATTTTTAATATTTTTGTCTTATTTTTAGAAATTCTCAAAAGAAATTAATTTCATTCATATATTTATCATCTAAGTTTATATTAATTAAATAAGATATGTGAATTGAGCTGAAGTGGATTTCTTTGATTAACTATTCGAGCTTTTAAATGTTGTTTATAAGCCGCCATTTTTCTTGGTGAACCAAAAAATTAAAAGTTTCGCATATTTTTGTTTGATAGATTTCGCAAAAATGCTGAAAAAGCACATTTTTGTTAAGGTAAAATTTCACAATATCGACACTCCATGTTGGTTACTTAAATATCGGGGCTGGTTGGGTTAGCCATGTTTTCTGTCAATTTAAAGGCTGCGTTTGCACGTGACCTACTTCCGTATTATTACAAGCACTCCAATATGGCATCTTTTGTCAGGTACTGGATTTATGGAACTTGTTGATTGAACATTTAGTTGTAGTTGCTTTCAGTACCTTGAATTCATACCTTACTTGACAGTATATGCTTTCAGTACCTTGAATTCATACCTTACTTGACAGTATATGCTTTCAATACCTTGAATTCATACCTTACTTGACAGTATATGCTTTCATTACCTTGAATTCTTACCTTACTTGACAGTATATGTTTTCAGTGCCTTGAATTCATACCTTACTTGACAGTATATGCTTTCATTACCTTGAATTCTTACCTTACTTGACAGTATATGTTTTCAGTGCCTTGAATTCATAGCTTACTTGACAGCATATGCTTTCAATACCTTGAATTCATACCTTACTTGACAGTATATGCTTTCAGTACCTTGAATTCATACCTTACTTGACAGTATATGCTTTCAATACCTTGAATTCATACCTTACTTGACAGTATATGCTTTCAGTACCTTAAATTCATACCTTACTTGACAGTATATGCTTTCAGTGCCTTGAATTCATAGCTTACTTGACAGTATATGTTTTCAGTACCTTGAATTCATATCTTACTTGACAGTATATGTTTTCAGTATCTTGAATTCATATCTTACTTGACAGTATATGTTTTCAGTATCTTGAATTCATATCTTACTTGACAGTATATGTTTTCAGTATCTTGAATTCATATCTTACTTGACAGTATATGTTTTAAGTATCTTGAATTCATACCTTACTTGACAGTATATGTTTTCAGTATCTTGAATTCATACCTTACTTGACAGTATATGTTTTCAGTACCTTGAATTCTTACCTTACTTGACAGTATATGTTTTCAGTACCTTGAATTCATACCTTACTTGACAGTATATGTTTTCAGTACCTTGAATTCATACCTTACTTGACATTTTTAATTAAAACGTTCACTTATTTTGGTAATTTCATTGTAAACTAATTATCCTAATAGCTATTCATTGGTTTTCGTCTTACTTTTCGTAGATATGTATGACCGGAGAAAAAGACGATTTATCGTTTAGAATTCCAGCGGAACGGTTCGATACCTTTGCATAGCCACTATTTAAACGCTTTTTCAGTAACAACACCCCAATACAATCTAAAATTATCATATTATAATGACATCATGTGTCAGCCATTATATAATAAAATATAAAAACTTTTGATTTTAGAATTAGAAAGAAATTAACGTTTTTCGTGTTAGAACATGATTTAACAAATTAACACGTTCATACAAAGACGACTTTGTCTCAGACAAACTGGTTTCTAGGATTATTTTTTAATAATTCACGGGGATTTATGGGGAAGTAGGAAAAACGTATCAAACCGTCAAATGTTGAAAATAAGTCATATTTTGAAAATAAACAATTTTAAAATAATTGTGAAAACTATCAAAGAACTATGAGATATTACAATTCAATTTAATATTTGAAAATTTTAAAAAATCCATGATTATGAAAAAATCATCAAATAGTGTCAATGCAAAGGTATCATATCTTTGCGCTGAAATTCTGAATGACAAATCGGCTTTTTCTCCGGCCACAGTTGTCTTTGAAAAGTAAGACTAACTACCAATTAATAGCTAATAGGTTATTTAGTTTAAGCTTAAATTACCCAAATAAGTGAACGGACCCTTCAACTTGATTTAAAATCTTATATTGATATCTATTACCAGGCAACTGAACATGTACGGATTTCATAAAGTGTTAAGCGTGGATTCTGGAGGATTAAAGGTAAACTTATTTTAAATACGGGTTCACATTCTTTAAATGGATTGTTTAGGAATCCTGGTAAGACAATACACATTTTTCTTCATCGTGCATACGGTTTTGGAAAAAATTCGTTCAATAACAAAAATTTAATAAATAAACACGATAAAGATTTCAATTTTCTAAATAAAATCAAAATTGTCTAAATCTTAACGAAATTCTTCATATCTTCGGTAAGTATTAAAGTATAAGAAAAGGCAGACCACATTTTAGAAATGCGAAGCCTAGGAAAAAATTTATAGTTTTTGTAAAAGTAAATTTAAAAATGAATGCCGCAAAAATAGTTTAAGATCATAGACGACCTTCAAGTACATGTGTTTCTTGTCGTCTTCTTGTAATTAAAGACATGGACAACTCTGAAGAAGGAGAACGACTGTTAAGTCAAATTATGATCTTGAATGGACCACAGAAAATGAAATAATACAATTGTGCACTGTGCACCATCTTTTTTAATGACCAATTACAGTGAAGTTTATTTTAAAACATACGACATCATTTACACAATTGTTTTAATTTCGTCTTCCAATTCCACATTGTTAGCGTTCCGACATCATACTTTGATAAATGATTAAACTTTTCTAATAATCCTTCCTTTTTAAAATTTAAAATTTCTGATCAGCTTATAAATTTCTGAAGACAAAGCTTAATCAGGAGATCTAAAAGTACCAAAAGTTCTTTTAAGAAGACTTTATTTTTGTGTGTACTTTTCCCCCGTCAAAAATTACAACTGAACTTGGATGGTTTTGTATAAACTTAAAGGCAGTGTTCGCGAATATTGAAAGGGGGTATAGGCTTACGGCAAAAAATTATCGATTGTAATCGTTACTAATCTTACTTCTATCTGTTGCGACTATAATAAGGAGAAAATTGTTAAAAACTACTCATACCGAAGAACGTAGCGTCCAAACAAATTCAGACAATTGAAATAGTCAACTCGGATCGTAAAATAAACAATTGAATTCCAAAAAAATCATTCAGATATTACAACCTATCAGCACCGATGATTTTTTAATGTTATTGTTGATAGTTGACATTTCATAATATTTTCATAATATTTGTTATATATACAATGCACTTGTAAATTAAAACGACGATTTTTTATCCGCTAGGTGTTTCTGCCACGTGGAACCACAGACACATCAAGTGCAGAGACACCTGGCGGCCAACTAATCGTCGTTCAAATTGCATCATATATTAAAGAAATATTTTGACATCATATATTAAAGAAATATCAACTTTACAAAAATGCGTCGAAAAAAATTCGATGATTATAGGTTTTAATATCTGAATGTCTTGTTTGGAATTAAATCTCAGTTGAATGTTGCAACTTTCTGAATTTGTATGGACGCTACGTTCATCGGTATAAGTCGTTTTTAACAATTTTCTCCTTATAGACGCAACAGATACAAGAAAGATTAGTAGCAATTATAATCGATAATGTTTCGCCGTAAAATCTATTTTCGCGAACTCTCCTTTTAAGTAAAGTTATTCAAAAAATTGTTTTCAACTGCAAACCTATATTATATTTATCTGACCTTTGTTTGTGCGGAAGGTTTGAAGGTATAGAAGGTTTGTGCAGTGGATATAGAAGGATATATTTTAACTTCAATTATGTTTATTCTTCCTAGGGAGAGAAGGAGGAAATGGAGTTCGCCCACCTTTATTTTCTTCGTGGACAGGAGCATCTTCTTTCAGAGATCAAGAGGAAGGTTTCCATTGGACATACTAAACCTACTCATATTTTGCCTACTATCAGAAATGACAAGGTACTCCCTCAATACTAAACCTACTCCTATTATGCCTTCTATTAGAAATTACAAGGTTCTCCGTCAATAAACCTACTCCAGATTATGCCTTCTATAAGAAATGACCCACAATTCTAAGCCTACTCCTATTATGCCTTCAATTAGAAATGACAAGGTACTCCTACTATATTAAACCTACTCCTTTTATGCCTTCAATTAGAAATGACAAGGTACTCCCACTATCCTGAACCTTCTCCTATTATGCCTACTATTAGATATATGACAATGTACTCCCACTATATTAAACCTACTAATATTTTGCCAAATATTGAATTAAATATACCAGAGAGTTTTCAATATAACTGAATAGTTGTATATTGAATATTGTATTCCTGTAAATTTGAATATCCCATTATTTAAATGTATGATTATACTCTGGAAGATTATGAGAATATATTTAAGATTATTGCTCCATTTTCTCCAACATTTATCGTACAAATATTTACTCTTTGCAACGGAAATTAAATATTTCTTCTCGAGCTTCGGTGTTTTCTTGAAACGTAGAAAACAAGGAAAATAGAGAAAAAATACTTTTTAGAAAACATATTTTGTCCTTTTGACCAGGGTGTAAGTATACATAGTTTGCACACGTTTATGATATCAAAACCAGAGATTCTAAACAAATGCCGGGGGTAATTTTACTAGATAGTTGGGGCAAATAGGACACTTTTTCGTACTTTTCACTTTATTTATCTTCCACTATATTTAAATATTTTCCTCATTCAGCGAATAAACCCTAAAAAAATTGCGATCCCTGCGCAAAATTTAAGTTCATGGATGTTAAGTGTTTACTTTGTGAACTACATTCGGTGTTTATTGTGGTGTAAGCTGTGAATATTGTAAAGATGTTAAACTCAATTTTCATGTTTTCTTCCAGTTTGATTTGATTACAGATGTCCATTAATCAAGTCTAATCAAGAATGAATAAGATATCCATGTTTTAAACTTTGATTATTTGTGGGTTCTCTATAAAACTGAATTGCGGATTTCTGACATAACAACAATGGAGGAAATTGACAAACTAAGCGCTTCTCAAGTTAGAAAACGAACGATGATATCATTCACATTATTTTTAAGATAACGCATGCTCTCTTTAAGTTTTTTCTACAGCACCCTGTGTTTTCTTGGAAAAAATAATTTTTATTGTTAAAAATAATTTTATGAAATTTTGAGAATTTTTATTAAAAAACCATTATTGCTTTGGTTCATTGTTTATGTTTATATCAGGAATCAGCTAGTTAATCTACGTCATTTTTTTCAACAATGTAAAGATGATCATTGTTTATGAATTAGTGACAATTAAAACAATTTTCCGTGTTTTCTGAAATGAAGAAAGCAATTGCTTTGTTTGAGTGAAATGAATCCAAAATCAGTGACCTTAAACTGCTCAAAAAATGTTAAGATAACATTATTTCTGTCTAATTTAAAGTGATTTATGATAATTTTTCCGATTATTTTTATATATAAGGCGAGTAAGGCGAGAAGCCACAGACGAAAATAAAAAATTTAAAGAAACAAAACATTTGTATTTTGTTAATACATGATCAGACAAAGCTATAAATCGGGCATTGTCATCTTTGCGTCACTTGAAATTATGCTGAACTATATAGGGGGGTGGGAGATGCAATCACATAACTTTCTGTGACGCATTGTCATCTTTGCGTCACTTGAAATTATGCTGAACTATATAGGGGGGTGGGAGATGCAATCACATAACTTTCTGTGACGCATTGTCAGCTTTGCGTCACATGAAATTATGCTGAACTATATAGGGGGGTGGGAGATGCAATCACATAACTTTCTGTGACGAAAAGCTCAAAAAGCATAGATGTTTTTATGAAAATGACGATTTTTACCATGTGGGACTTTAAAAAAAACAAAATGCTGCTGGCTTGAATATCGAATGAAGTAATATCTTATTTTAAGAATATTTGTTATTTTGATTTTTACAATATTTGCGTATTTGTATAAAGTTTCGATAATTGAGCCGACATTTCGGATTTTCTATAGAAATAAAAGTAATTTTTCCTACATGCAGTGCATTGCTAATTACCATCATTCTTTTTTATTTTAAACTTTTCGTAGGTCTCAATACAGTCCTTTTTCAGTACATTGTTTAGTTCATTAAATAAAAGACTCCATTAAAAAAATTCTAAATAATTGAATATTTGGAACAAATTTAATGATTACCTAGAAGTCAACGTAGTTAAACTACTCACTATCCCTGCGTACTGCGTAGTGGTCAAAGAAACAGTTTAAAATAAACACTTGGTTCGTAAAACACATGGTTAAAGGGACTGTTAATGTATTTTCATCTGACCATCCATTGATAAAGTGGCATGTCTAATTCTCAACGTCAACCTTAAAATCTTTGTCTGATCAAGTATGAATTGAAAGTTTTTAATTTAAACTTTTAATTTTGTTTCTCTGGAAAAAGTGTCTCGCGCTTTTCTATTTTCAGAAACAATAGAAAAACTATCAGAATTAAATTCTCGAAGAACAACGTTATTTTCGACATTAATGATCTGCTGAAGATCTCAAGAGTATTGTTGTGAATCGGGCAATGCTTGTCATTCGCTTAACCCATTTATAAATTAAAACCCTTTAATTTTAGAAACAGATCATTTATTGATTTATCTCTTTAGTTCTGAATTTGTGACAAAATAGATCAATTATTTATCTCAATGTTCTAAATATGCGACAAAATAGATCAATAATTGAGTTCTCTCTAGGTTCTGAATTTGCGACAAAATAGATTAACTATTGATTTATCTTTAGGTTCTGAATATGCGACAAAATAGATTAATTATTGTTTATCTTAAGGTTCTGAATATGTGATAAAATAGATCAATTATTGATTTATCTTAAGGTTCTGAATATGCGACAAAAACACACTCAGCAGCAGAAGATTGTAAATAAATTAATTCATTTTCTGATGGCAGTTGTTCAACCCAGGTTAGTCAAAATATTCTTCTTCATGCTAATCCAGATCTTATATCTNCTGGAAAATGAGAGGAAAGTTTTTACTTATTTTGTCAACGCTAATTTATCATTAATCAATCAGTTTGTTAATTTTTAAGTTTTTTTTTTCTTCCATTGAAAAACGTAAAGGTCCCCACCCTACACCCTCCCTATTGAAAATATTGGAAGTCGTCCCTGCAAATAATTAATTTTCTTGGAAAGAATTTTCGCATTTGATAAATTTACTTGCTTTTTTAATTTTGATTACTCTTGACAAATTCTTCATTAAAAAAATTTGTAACTTTTATGGTTTTTCTTTATTTAACACCAAACTTTTATATTTCATATTTATAGTTTTGAAATTTGAAAGAATTGACCCAGTTCTTTTGTCAGGATTTATAAAATTTAAGAAACTGAGATGAGAATTCTAGAAAAGAAAAGAAATCTTTTTGGTTACAAAAAGGTTGTCAGAAAATTTTAGACTTTTGAATTTCAGTGGGTTTTAATTTTCTAGAACCAAAAAATGCCAGTTCTGTTAATTCAAGACAAATTTTGATTTGTTTCATTTAAGATGGAATAATAAAAAACCTTCTAATTGGTATTCTTTAAAGTTAGAAATAAATTGAAAAATTATCAAGATTAATTATAAGGACTGAACATTGAGAGAATCCTAAATATTTCTCCTTTTATTTATATCTTCCCATTTATTTTACTGGATCAAATTTTAAAATACCAAAGGATTTTTACATCATCAGAGGCCGAATTTTAAGAGTTTGAGTCGCGTCTTAAATTTGAGATGCGACTCGAACATAGTTAGTTCCACTTGAAATTGTATTCAGTGTTTTGAGATCTGAGCCCGCGCTCAATTGAAACCGGTTTTTGTTGGTTCATTGGTTCATCGGCGGTCTAAATCCTTTAAATTCGGCCTCTTGTTGCACAACTGTAAGGATTAGAAAATCAATGTTTGGGTTAAGTACCTTTACTTAAAGATGCCACCTACTGAACAAACCAAAAAAAAGTGATAAAATTTATTAAATTAGGATGGCTGGTATGAAGCGTAGGTACGGGGTTCCTGGTATTCACCTTGCTATAGAGGATAATGAGGAACCAAACGGGAAAATGCCTAAAATGGAATCCAGCTCAGGACCAGTTATACAGGTAGATAAAATAATAATTTAATAGGGAGATACAGGGTTTTCCACAAAAAAATGAGACCACCTTGTAATATTGAATATAACTATTTAAGAGTAAACCTTGACTTCTGCCTTGAACTGTGATGTTTTTTAAAAGTAATAAGCAAGGGTTCCAAAATTGCAAGAAAACTAATAAACAAGGGTTCCAAAATTGCAAGAAAACTAATAAACAAGGGTTCCAAAATTGCAAGAAAACTAATAAACAAGGGTTCCAAAATTGCAAGAAAACTAATAAACAAGGGTTCCAAAATTGCAAGTAAACTAATAAACAAGGGTTCCAAAATTGCAAGAAAAAAGAAAAATAATTTCTGCACAGTCGTCTTTAAAGTTCATCTTTGTAGTTAGTCTTGTAATAGATCTAAATCTTATTAAAAACTTCAGCATTTTAAGTTCTACACTATTTTTTAAAAGTTTTTTTGCACGGAGCTTCAAAATTTTTGTTTTTTATCACTGAATTGCATGCACGTTTGGGTCGAAAGTATCTTAAAAGTAATAAAAAACTTAATTTAATGTACAATTTTTCATGTTTAGGACGTGACAAACTCCGATCCGCTCGCAACTCTTCTTGAAGGCGTTGGAGTTCCTAACGTTGAGCTTCCCACTTCTCCCAGGTATAGAATGTGCTGGTTAAAATATGATGAGATCTGTAATATCTCCCATGATTTGGAAACAAGATGCAAAAAAAACAAGATCGCATCAGTACCTTTCTGAAAAAGGAGGATTTTCTTGAATTTGAATAAAGGCTTGAAAACTGATCTGAGAATTTCCCAGTCAATGTCTTATTTTTTTTCAGTTTATTCCTTCAATTTCATTAATATTGAAAATATGAAAACAAACAAAAAAACTTTTAAGAAAGAAAATTCCAACTTTTAATTGGCAACATTTTGTTGAGTAAATATTGAAAGTAAAAATCAATTAAATATATATTTGAAGAAAAACAAACAAATATTTTCAGAGTTGAAGTTCCACACAAGTCTGAAGGAAAATATAGACTCGTGGATCCTCAATCAGTTTCACCGTCTATGTCCCAGGTTTGAACATTCACACCCTCCCTCACACAAACAAATATGCCCCTAAAACCATCTAAAAAACAAATATGTTAAAACGAATGTTTTTTTTCATTTTCTATTTTATTTCTAAGGAATAAAATATTGCGAAGTTAAATAAAAGCAAACTTGAACAGAATACAGTTTTAGAAACTTTTATTAAAAATGTTATAAAACAAACCAAACCAATTAACAACACATAACTACTAGATAATTAAGAAGGAAACCAATTTCTTAAAAACATTCTATGTAACAATGAAATGGGTTGGACGCCGTAATGGAACTGATGAAGATTACGGTGGTACAACAGTACAAGTACTGAAGGTCGTCATCGTTTTTAAGTCCTTTTTCCCAGGTTATACTTTAAAGAGGCTTCACAAAGATCAGTGCTTAAGATCCATTTAATTTTGATGGGGAAGATCCAGATAATTTCTTTAAGATTTACTGAATTTTTTTTAACAAAGCAGAATTTAAAATTTGTTGTCTTATTTTCATGCTAAATCTTGATAAACCATTCAGAAATTAGGAAATTTTTATTATCATTCTTTTTTCAATAGTTCATATTTGGGTTTAAAGAGTAAAAAAGTTTTTTTTAATTACTGAGTTGAGTGCAAAGTAAACCTTCAAAATCATGAATTTGGGTGGGTACGTTTTCAAAATCGGTATTTTTAATTATTAAATAACGACGACGAAAAGTAAAGTAAAATTATACATTAACTATTTAGATGTTTAGGAACATGTTTCTCAATTGTAATTTGTAAATAAATCAATGTTAGAATCAATTATTTCGTTTTCATCATTTTATATTAATTTCTTATTTCTATGAATTTGTTAGCAGATTTCTACAAATTCTTCAAATGTTTTTCTGTCAATAAAAATTCCAGAAAATCTTTGTGAATTATGAGAGATTATAGATTATAGAAACTAATAATTGAACAAGATCACGTATTTTCGATAATAAAAAAAACAGTTTCAATGTATTAAACATCTTGAATTATTTTATGGGTCAAAATTTGTTGTAAAATCTTAGCTCCAAATCAAGCATATCACCCATCGCTAGGTTCAAATACGTGTCAGGGTTCATTTCATACATTTTATACAACACGTTCTAATATTCCTTCTACAAACTAGGTTAACAACCAGAGTGCTTTATCACTATCCCAGAGCTCTCCTAAACGGCCAGGATTAAACAGAGAGATCAGTAAGGAGGACTTCGATCTCGACATTAACAACATGCAGGCGGAGTTGGACAACCTCAAGGTAGGCTAGCGCAGGAATTTCATCACAAAAGAAATACTTCTAAGTATTTTTAATTCAAAATCTAAAATCATGATTTTTAAACAACTTTTCATTAAAGTCAGGTGACCTGGTAAAAATCGTTTGCAAAATATCCGTAGTTTTTTTAAATGACCAATAAACACAATGTTTATATTTTTTTCCACGTAAACATTACGGGGATTTTAACAACGGTATATTTTATAGCACACCAACCCTGTTTTTACTCGTATATTCATAAACTTTAGCTTAGAGTTTAACAACTCAAATACAATCATTGAAAATACGAATGTTAGTAAAAATTGATTTACGGAAAAGTTTTTGTGTACTTAGGTCAAGAATTGATTAAATGCAAATAGAAGTTGAATATTCAATATCCTTCAAGGACATTTTTCCAGTTAAAACTGGATTCAGTATTTTTCTAAAGAGAGAAGTGAAAATTAAAAATTTTTAGGGGAGGGGGGGCTCCTGCTTAGAAGTGTTTTTTTGTGTGTGTGGGGGGGGGGCTAATGAAGAATTTTGTTTGAAGTTTGTTTTGAGGGGTTGGAGGCTCAAGAGGAGTGTGCAAATAAGTTTTTGTTTTTCTAACAGGGATTTCAATGTATTTTCTAGAGATGAATTTTTTCTACAGCTTTTATTAAAAATTTGTTTTCTTCAATGTCAAAGAATTCTAACTATCCTGAGATTGAAATTGTTCAGAACTTAAAACTATTTAACTTAGAACTCTCTTCATTTAATTCAAACTGACAAAATAGGAATTTATTCATTTCCAATTAAATTACTGTTAAAAAATCACACTAAAGCATCACATTTTATTTATCACTTTAGTTCATATTAGACTTTCTAAACAATGCAAAAATCTAGTATTCGTTGAATTTATGTTTTAAAAATTTCAATTTTCATTTTTGTCGATCTGTATTGAAAAGAATAAAGACTCGTAACATTATTTAATTTAAAACAATGTATCTAGGTTACTAACAAATATGTTTCTAGGATACTAACAATATCTTGTATCTAGGTTACTAACAAATACAGAGCGTCCCATATCATATTAGATTATCTCCAATCTCTAACACCAAAATACGCACATAATACTCGAAAAATCTAGCATTTTCTGCAAAAAAAAAATTTCTATTAGCCTTATTAAATTTTTCAAAATGATTCATTCTTCTTAAATTTTCTGATTTCTCCCCCAAATCGTAATTTAGACCCATTGACACGGTCTAATTTGATGTGGGACACCCTGTATGTTTCTAGGATACTAACAATAGCATGTATCTAGGTTACTAACAAATATGTTTCTAGGATACTAACAATAGCATATATCTAGGTTACTAACAAATATGTTTCTAGGATACTAACAATAGCATATATCTAGGTTACTAACAAATATGTTTCTAGGATACTAACAATAGCTTGGATCTAGGATACTAACAATAGCATGTATCTAGGTTACTAACAAATATGTTTCTAGGATACTAACAATAGCGTGTATCTAGCTTACTAACAAATATGTTTCTAGGATACTAACAATAGCATATATCTAGGTTACTAACAAATATGTTTCTAGGATACTAACAATAGCATGTATCTAGCTTACTAACAAACATGTTTCTAGGATACTAACAATAGCGTGGATCTAGGATACTAAGTTACTAACAATAATCATGTACCTAGGATATCCTGTCTGGGCAGATAACCCTGGATACCAGCCTCGTATCCTCCCTCTTCAGCCCCGAGGATACCCTTCCTAACCTCGGGAACCTTGGCAACCTCAGGGATACAAAACTATATCCTCCCAGCCTTATATTTGTTAGAATTTTTTCCCTCTTTCCCATTCATTAAAATGATTTTTCCCCAGATTTAAAAAGTGGTTAAGCATATTTTTTTAATTCACGATATATGGGGAATTATGAATTTTTTGGGAACATGTCACTAAGGAGAATTCCTTAAAATATAGACCGCTGTACTTCAAATTAAATTTGAAACCCAGACTGTGAAATAGTCAATACTCTATCTGAACATTTTACTTTTAGACAACCAACTTTAAAATTTAAAATCTATAAAGGCTTAAGTATAACATCTTTGATGGAAGGGGGGGGATAAACTATCGCTTTTGATCTCTAAAACCTGTAATGATGGATTACTTGATTGGTTTTGTATGATTAGTAACCTCCCTGCAAACATCTCACTAAGTGCTGATGGTTTACTTAATGATGATAATGAACTGAACGGGGTAGGATGATTATCTAATTTATTATTTATTATTATCATTATTATCATTATTATTATTATCTATAGTCATTATAGTCATTATAGTAATTATGGTCATTATTATCATTCTCATCATGCTCATCATTCTCGTTATTTTCGTTATTCTCATCATTCTCATCATTCTCGTCATTTTATGGTCATTTTATGGTCATTATTTGCATTCTTCCATTATTTTCAGGATCAGAATATGATTTCATATAATCCTTCTTTGTTTGAATTGACTGAAGAAGAGGATGATGGCCAAGGTAAAGGATTTGAACCGATTGTTCTGATATAGGGATCTGTATGTGTGAACAGTCCCTTAGCTTGTTCTAGCCGTGGCCCTCTCACTAGAAATGGGATTTACCCAGAAATATGAGTTAACAAATAAAAAATATATATATTTGATTAGTGTCTAATTTTACTGGTTGCACACTTTATATAATTTGCTCCTGGAAGTTTTCCCTGATTTTTTTAAAGCAGTTTGTGTGTCCAAAAAGGGGGAGGGGGGGACAAGATCCTCTTAGTTGGCCACTCCAACCCCACTGTACCTAAACAAAACAAAAATAAGATCTGTTTTGATTAAAATATAAGTTTTTTCCTCCCTCCGTTTATTTAGTTGGTTATATTTGTCCTAACAGTCGGCCAGTCCTCTTTCATTCATCTGAATGTATTCCCTTGAAAGGGACTGTAAACACGATTTCAAGTTTCTAGCAAACAAGGATGGAAATGACCGATTCACATCTGTACCCAGAAAAGCTTTCAAATATGTATCAGATGGCATTATTTATGATTTTAAAAACTGATTATTTTCAAGTGTGGTTTCTTTACAAAAGTGACTTGTGCATTTTTACTGCAAAAAAAGTATAGGAATGAACAGAATTAAACACTTGTAAACTGAGTAAAAATGAAAATATCTTAAACATTATTGATGATAGAAAGGTTGAAACGCTACCATTGTGAATCATGCATTGTCATCTTTGCATTAACGCTACCAAGTACGATTCCCTTGAAACCTTCGTAAATAAGTTTCCTTATTTTATAATTTAGGTTTTCTGAACTCCTTGAACACTCCGTCATCTTCAGCCCACCTGGAATCCTGTCTGAACACTCCCCAGCCATCCTCCCTAGACCTAAACACCCCTCAGATATCAGAGGACACCACCAACCCACTAGCCAGGCTTTAACGAATGAAAATGAAAAGATTTGTTTGTTCTTTCTCAACAAAAATAGTTTCCTTAATCCCCCCCACCCCCGTGAGGGATACCAGTATCAGTTTATAGTAATGGTTCCTTAATTAGTTTTTATTTATTCTAATTAGTTGAGCTGAAGAGGAAATACGAAATAGAGAATATTTTATCAAGATTTAAAATAAAAGTACCCGACACCTATATTAGGTTTGCCTAAAAATTTTTAACTTGAATTTGTTTATAAAATAAAAAGATTTTTGCCACCATTCATATTCTTAATGCTTGGTTAAACCCCATTTGTTTCAAGCTCAATAATATCTTCCTGCTTTATATAAAGTTTAAGTTATCTTTGGTCTTTTTGCACATTTTAACTATTTATAACTCTGTTATTTTGGTTAGCAGTATTATTAAGTTTTTGTACAGAAATTTTTTTCTTTATCGAGAAGGTTCAACCTTTGCGAGGGACAAACTATAATCTAAAAGGGCGAGAACCTTTGAGACATAGAGAAAATTTAAGCCCAAAAACTTTATAGCCTAGCATGTCGTGCCAAAATAATAGTGTTATAGGTAATTTTATGAAACGTTTGTGTACTTTTCCTATTTCAATGGATATTTCTTTAGATCAAATAAGCATTGAAACAAAGCAGAAGTCAAAATATAAAGTTGATTTCAATTTTATTTTCATTTCAATTGAATAAAAATATTTTGGAAATATCCCAAATTTGTTGAAGGAAATCCGGGAACCAATCAAAACTTTATAGGCCACACGTGCTTTAATGTACAGCTAATTTAACTTTGTAGCACGTTCATTTTGAAATTCACGATGAAGTGAAGAAGAATGATAAAGTACACAAAACTTTCATAAAATTATAAAATGTACCTTTTTGTGTTTAGTTGGTTTGTTCAAATAATTGCCGTCCAACACAATTACCTATTTTATTAATATTTATCCTCGAATTGTCGAGTATTTTTAAATAATAGTTTCTTAATGTAGAAGGGGGGGGGGGGGGTTTCTCATTGTTCAAACCTTCATTCTCGACCTGGAATTTAGCTTGGAAAAACTTGATGCTTTGCTGAATTTGCTGGAGAAAGAAAACATTGCAAAGAAATAATTTACAGGTTGGCGTTGATAAGCAATTTAAAATTTTCACAGCAATCACGACCAAAAAAAGCTATGTAATCTTCATAAACAAAAACTTTATTTTTAGAAGAGGTCACCCTGTAAATTATTTAAGCTTTTTACTATTCAAAACCATACTTGTTTTTATCAATATCATCCTATGAAAGCAAATATAAAATATACCATGAAAAATGTAAACTAATATAAATTCGGCTCCACTATATCAATAACCATGTATTAATTGTACTACGTACTATTTACAGTTATGTCTTGCGTGTACATTTAGCCTGAATATTGTACTCTATTAATGCCAGAAAATTTAATAAATTTTAACAAACTATATTAATTACCTCGGTAAGATTTCGAGAGGTTTCCAGTGCAGCGAAATGTATTTCTACATAAACCTGAAGGGACAGTCAGCGTTATGTCAAGTGACCCTCAGTGCACAGATGACCACGCCCGAATCAGAACTGTACCTGTGAGACAGCTAAAAAAAGAGATCAATGGTGAAGTTTAGATTAGGACGGTTCAAAGAGAGACAAGAAGAGAAGGACAGGTTTAAAAATTTGAAAATAGGACGGATTAAAGAGAAATAAATGGGTTGAGTAAAGATTAGGACGGATTGAAAGATTTAGATGGTGGATTTATAATAGAATGACGGGTTACAGGAAAAATTGACTAAGTGGAATGGATTAAATGAACAAAGGGTTAAGTTTAGAGACTAGAAATGTTTAAAAGATAATGAAGGATCATAAAGAAAAAAAGGACGGATTGAAAGGAGAAAAGTGGGTTGAATTCACTAAGCTTAGGAAAGGACAGAGAGACACAAGAGAAGAATGAGTTAAGTTTAAAGAAAAGGCTATTAAAAGATGGGAAGTAGCATGGGTTGAGCTAAAAGAGAAGCATGGATAGAGTTTAAAGAGAAGAATAGATAGAGTTTAAAGAGAAGCATAGGTTGAGTTTAAAGAGAAGCATGGGTTAAGTTAAAAGAGCTAAGTAAACAGGAATCGTATTAGAGAAGGACGGATTAGAAAGAGAATAATAGTGTAAGTTTAGAGAAATACGGATTAGAAAGAGAATAATAGTGTAAGTTTAAAGATGGACGGATTAGAAAGAAAATAATAGTGTAAGTTTAGAGAAGGACGGATTAGAAAGAGAAGAATAGTGTAAGTTTAGAGAAAGACGGATTAGGAAGAGAAGAATAGTGTAAGTTAAGAGAAGAATAGTGTAAGTTTAGAGAAGGACGGATTAGAAAGAGACGAATGGTGTAAGTTAAGAGAAAAATAGTGTAAGTTTAGAGAAGGACGGATTAGAAAGAGAAGAATAGTGAAAGTTAAGAGAAGAATAGTATAAGTTAAGAGAAGGACGGATTAGAAAGAGAAGAATAGTGTAAGTATTGAGAAGGACGGATTAGAAAGAGAAGAATAGTGTAAGTTTAGAGAAAGACGGATTAGGAAGAGAAGAATAGTGTAAGTTAAGAGAAGAATAGTGTAAGTTTAGAGAAGGACGGATTAAAAAGAGAAGAATAGTGAAAGTTAAGAGAAGAATAGTGTAAGTTTAGAGAAGGACGGATTAGAAAGAGAAGAATAGTGAAAGTTAACAGAAGAATAGTGTAAGTTAAGAGAAGGACGGATTAGAAAGAGAAGAATAGTGTAAGTATTGAGAAGGACGGATTAGAAAGAGAAGAATAGTGTAAGATTAGAGAAAGACGGATTAGAAATAGAAGAATAGTGTAAGTTAAGAGAAGAATAGTGTAAGTTTAGAGATGGACGGATTAGAAGGAAAAGAATAGTGAAAGTTAACAGAAGAATAGTGTAAGTTTAGAGAAGAATAGTGTAAGTTAAGAGAAGGACGGATTAGAAAGAGAAGAATAGTGTAAGTTTAGAGAAGAATAGTGTACGTTAAGAGAAGGACGGATTAGAAAGAGAAGAATAGTGAAAGTTAACAGAAGAATAGTGTAAGTTTAGAGAAGAATAGTTTAAGTTTAGAGAAGAATAGTGTAAGTTAAGAGAAGGACGGATTAGAAAGAGAAGAATAGTGTAAGTTTAAAGAAGAATAGTGTAAGTTTAGAGAAGGACGGATTAGAAAGAGAAGAATGGTGTAAGTTAAGAGAAAAATAGTGTAAGTTTAGAGAAGGGCGGATTAGAAAGAGAAGAATAGTGAAAGCTAAGAGAAGAATAGTGTAAGTTAAGAGAAGGAAGGATTAGAAAGAGAAGAATAGTGTAAGTATTGAGAAGGACGGATTAGAAAGAGAAGAATAGTGTAAGTTTAGAGAAAGACGGATTAGAAAGAGAAGAATAGTGTAAGTTAAGAGAAGAATAGTGTAAGTTTAGAGAAGGACGGATTAGAAGGAGAAGAATAGTGAAAGTTAACAGAAGAATAGTGTAAGTTTAGAGAAGAATAGTGTAAGTTAAGAGAAGGACGGATTAGAAAGAGAAGAATAGTTAAAGTTAACAGAAGAATAGTGTAAGTTTAGAGAAGAATAGTTTAAGTTTAGAGAAGAATAGTGTAAGTTAAGAGAAGGACGGATTAGAAAGAGAAGAATGGTGTAAGTTAAGAGAAAAATAGTGTAAGTTTAGAGAAGAATGGTGTAAGTTAAGAGAAAAATAGTGTAAGTTTAGAGAAGGACGGATTAGAAAGAGAAGAATAGTGAAAGTTAAGAGAAGAATAGTGTAAGTTAAGAGAAGGACAGATTAGAAAGAGAATAATAGTGTAAGTTTAAATAAGGACGGATTTTAAGGATTAGAAATAGAATAGGTTGAGTTTAAAGAGTAGGATTAAAGGGAAAAAATAGGTTGCGTTTAAAGAGTAGGACGGATTTAAAAGAGAAAAATAGGTTGAGTTTCAAGAGTTGAACGAATTATAAAGCACAGATGATGAGTATAATGAGTTTAAAGAGTAGGACAGATTAAAAAGAAAAATGGACTGATTTTTATATGTAGTACGGATTGAAAATTAGAGAAGACAAGACATGTTTAAAAAGAAATGAACGGATTTTAAAGAGAAAGACAGGTTGAAAAGAGAAGAATGGATTGAATGAACTTAACAAGATTAATTAAAAATGAAAATATAAATGGATTTGGTTTCAGAGGCATACGGTTTAATAATAGACGGAGAGAAAAATAAAACAGATTGAATCAAGTCAAAAGAGAAAAGCGGTTTATTAACAGAAAAGAGGAGTAAGGGTTAAGTTTATAAACTTTATACTTAATACATGATACAGATATACGATACAGGATATTATATAGATACAGTACCATACATGATACTAATTAGATAAAGCATCATTCAGGATACAGCATCATACAGGATAAAGAATACTAGATACAGCATCATACAGGATATAGAATCCAGAATACAGAATAGTAGATACAGCATCATACAGGATATAGAATCCAGAATACAGAATACTAGATACATCATCATACAGGATATAGGATACAGGATACAGAATACTAGATACAGCATCATACAGGATATAGGATACAGGATACAGAATACTAGATACAGCATCATAGAGGATATAGGATACAGGATACAGAATACTAGATACAGCATCATACAGGATATAGGATACAGGATAAAGAATACTAGATACAGCATCATACAGGATATAGGATACAGAATACAGAATACTAGATACGGCATTATACAGGATATAGGATACAGGATACAGAATACTAGATACAGCATCATACAGGATATAGGATACAGGATACAGAATCCTAGATACAGCATCATACAGGATATAGGATACAGAATACTAGATACAGCATCATACAGGATATAGGATACAGGATACAGAATACTAGATACAGCATCATACAGGATATAGGATACCGAATACTAAATACAGCATCATACATGATATAGGACACAGGATACAGAATATTAGATACAGCATCATACAGGATATAGGA